CAGGGACTGATGAGGGGATATGAACCAGGTGTGTGTAATAAACAAGACAAAACAAATGGAATGATGAGATGAGGAGCGGCAGTGGCTAGAAGGCCGGTGACGACGAACGCCGAAGCCTGCCCGAACAAGGAGAGGAGGCAGCTTCGGAGGAAGTCGTGACAACTGGTCTGGTCTGTCTGGCTGTAAATAATAGTGCAGTCATCTGGGACCAGAATACTGCTCTGACTTATCCTGGGTGATACAGCCCTTTTTGTTGTTTATTGCCCTTGGCTATTGCCTTGCCTCCCTATGCTTTCTGACTGTCTGGATGCAGCCATGTATCAAAGTAATGGGCTCTCATTAGCTTTGGGCCATTGCCTGCTGAAGCAAAGAAGAAGATCAGACAAGTGTACTGTAGTATGCCATTTACTTCATCAGGTTTTACAGCAAACAATCTAGTTCATTTTAGTGCAAGTTGACAGTAAGCCACATTTTACATCGCAGCCCAACCCTTTGCTGAAACACTTGCCTCAGCATCTTGGAAATAATGTGGGAGTGCTTGCACAGATTGCCTACATGTAGTTGCGTTTGTGCAGCTGTGTGTTTGGTTACAGTTTTGGTTGCAGCTGGCAGTGATAGGTGGGCTGAATCAGTAGCTCTGGCCTATGTTGGGATAAGGAGGCAGAGGGACAGGCACTTATACAGCTGTTGCATCATCTGGTCATGGCGCTATGTGGATGATCCATGGTCAGAGGAGGGAAACACATTAGAGACACCCGGAAAAGAACGCCCCGTTCATCTCTGTCACTTCCTTTCAGAGGGAGCCTGGGATCTGATTGGCTTAGAGAGGAGGGAAGGATTTTGAATGGCTGGAATGAGAGCACCATATTACTCATACTATTCGGTATGTTGTATTTAGACAAAGTAATGCTAAAGCTTAGAAGAGATTAGCCAAAGAGCTGATTATGCTAGATTCGCTTTTGCTTTCTCTAATTATTTTTCTCCTTTAACAGCTAATCATACACATTGTGAAATCTCATGAGAGTAACTAATGGAAAAGAAGCTACTGTTACTGTATGAGAATCTCTTTAAAACACAAATACTTTTTTTTAAATCACACACACATTGTAACATTCTAACTTCCTGTCCAAGTGAATTCAAAGATGAGCGCGGGCCATCCTCAGGAAGCATTGAGCTAACTTCCTGCTTCGCATGCCTTCACCTCCTCACAAAGCATGCACAGTCAGCTCAGAACAATCCAGCTCTTTGACCTAGTGGGGGCAGGGAAAGGGGTCTCTGCCCAGCCAAAACCATGACGTCAACCCTTAACCCACAACAAGGATGTTACAAGATGATAACAGGGAAGAGTTTAGGATTTTGCAATAACTCATCTGTTTTGAAATGGCATGAAATTGTTTAACAATCCACAGTCCTCACAGGACATTACAAACAAGACAAACATATTCTACAGTATCAGTGCCATAAGTCCTGCACTGTAGAGGAGTACTCTGCCAGAGATCCACCTGGCTTGCAGGCCTGCCTCAACCTTTGAAACATTCTCCCCACAGATCCAACCACTTGAAGCCAATAGCAAATTAACATTGGCATGCATGCGGTGGGTTGTGGGTTGTAGGTTAGTTGTTTAACAGGGATTGAGTCTGGTCAGAGCTGCTTGTGTGCTGCAGGAGAGATACAGACAGACAGACCTAACCCAGTATATTCCCCAGCTGTGAAGACTGTTTTATGTGGGATTAATTTAAGGCTTTTTCTTTACACTGGTTGGCCTGTACTGAGACTCCTGGCTGTGCTGTGCCACGTTACATTCTCCATATCCCTGGATTCTGCGGTGGTTTCTCCTGGACTAATGACGCCACTGTGGTTAGGCCTGTGATTCCTGGGCTCCAAAGGGGAGAAACACCACACACTATTATCACGTTATCCTGCTACAGTCATTCTATACATGTAGAGAAAATGTTCTTCCTTCATTTTAATCTTCATTTTACCAAATAACTTGACATTGAAACATACTGTAACAAGGATATGCCTTTTATATGGTTTCAAGTTTTATTTGTCATATGTACGGGATACGTATGGTATACATCGTCCAACGAAATGCTTACTTGGGCTGTTATGCAATAGATTTCGGGGGAAATTACAGAAATTCATAATAAAGTTGTGAAATGGGAGACCACTGGCAAGCAGATGCATGCACACATATTTTCTACTTGATCCAAAGCAATGTGAATGCCTTTTATTACAGAACAAAATGTTGAAAGGCAGGTAATATTACAATAAAAAACCTTCTTGTGCAGAATGTGCACCCAATAAGCACGTTTCTATGCCATCGGTAAAGTAGTTCAAAACCCATCCCAGATAAAACCTAGAACACTACTTCATCCTGTCCGTTCTGTGGATGAGTATTCGGAAAACAACCAGTGTGTCCAGGGGTTTGTCTGTGAAACACACCACCAAATACCGATACAATTTGAGAGTTCATGGAGAGGCATCAAATACAATAGTGTCTGTGAGAGGCAGTGGAGGGAAGGAGAATAGTTTACAGCAGGGTTCCCCAACTGGCGACCCGCGGGAGATTTGATTTGGCCCCCCAAGTTTTCTTTTTACATTTTTATTGTTGGACATAAGACTGTATAAACACCAGCAAATAAGGTCCAAGTGATTTTAATTTTGGAAATATGTTCCAAAGTATTCCGACTCATAATATAAACGGTACACCCATCTAGTACCGGGTCGGACCCCCCTTTGCCTCCAGAACAGCCTGAATTATTTGGGGCATAGAAACATTGCTCAATTGGTATCAAGGGACCTTACCTGTGGCAGGAAAACATTCCCCACTCCATTACACCACCGCCACCAGCCTGTACCGTTGACACCAGGCAGGATGGGGCCATGGACTCATGCTGCTTACGCCAAATCCTGACTCTGTCATCAGCATGATGCAACAGGAACCCGGATTCATCGGACGAGGCAATGTTTTTCCACTCCTCAATTGTCCAGTGCTGGTGACCGCCTGCCCACTGGAGCTGCTTCTGCTTGTTTTTATCTGATAGGAGTTGAACACGGTGTGGTCGTCTGTTGCAATAATAGCCCATCCGTGACAAGGACCGTCGAGTTGTGCGTTCCGAGATGCCGTTCTGCACACCACTCTTGTACTGCGCCATGATTTGCCTGTTTGTGGCCCACCTGTTAGCTTGCATGATTCTTGCTATTCTCCTTTTACCTCTCATCAACGTGCTGTTTTTCGGCCACAGGACTGCCACTGACTGGATGTTTTTTGTTTGTTGCACCATTCTCGTAACACCCTAGACACTGTCGTGCGGGAAAGTCCAGAAGGACGGCCGTTTCTGAGATACTGGAACCGGTGCGCCTAGAACCGACGATCATACCACGCTCAAAGTTGCTTAGGTCACTAGTTTTTCCCATTCTAGCGTTCAGTTGAACAATAACTGAATGCCTTGTTGCCTGTTTATCTGCTTTATATAGCAAGCCACGGTCACGTGACTCACTGTCTGTAGGAGCGAACCATTTTCGTGAACAGGCCTAATAAACTGGTCACTGAGTGTATGTGATTGTAGACAAATGTAACCAAGGTTTTAAATTATTATGTTTTAGTCAAATATTATATTTGTTTGGGCTTCTTGCGGTCAATTTGCAGTCTAAACATTACTTGTAATTATTTTCCAGCCCCCTGATCATCCTCTCAATATAAAATAATCCCGTGGCTGAATCTAGTTGATGATCCGTGGTTTACATGCTAATCTGTAAACGGACAAAATATAATCTGTTCTTAAATTCTGCAAACACTCTGACGTGGGAGAGGCACTCATAACTCAGACACAATATGACAGTGCATGTTGTCGTAATAATACACCATTCACGTGTGCACGGGGGGGACTATGAGGGATTGTTTTAGCACCCAAGAGCACAATACAATATTTGGCAGAGCAGGAGAACAGTGTCTCTTCTCCAAGTCCTTGTTTGTGTATGGCAACAAGCCATGTGGATCCAAAACATGAAGTGTGTAGAGGGACTGTCACGTTGTCACGGCCACTTGGCTCTTGTTTCAATGCCTTTGTTTATATTCATGCATGCATGAAAAAAGGATTTTGGTCTTGCTGCGCTCATTGTATTAGCCCTTCGTGCAGCATTGCCTCATTGCCTACCACCAGAAATGTGTGTGCATGCCAAATCTTAAAGTTTGACTTTGAGGATTATTGAATGAGCATTTATTAAGTAGAGTTACTTAAGAGATCTGAGAAGTAACAGTTTAGCTCCTTAATCTGTGTTTAATCTATCCTCTGACATTAGTTGGCATGGCACGGTTGCAAAATGGCACTGAACTCCTCCAGCTTCTGGTGTCAACATGCAACACTCTGTAGCCTCACATTTCTATTTAAACAAGCAGTTAAATGCAGCGTATTGGAGTACGGAACTAACAGCGGTATGTAGGGTACTTTTTCCATAGCCATGGTAAATTGAATATGTTTCACGGTGTTGTGACTTTCAAGAGGTTATGGAGGAGGAGGTTTGTACGTCATGCAGTTATGCTGCTTGATTATTTTCTCCGGCCATGAGCAGTTGGAACTTGGAACTGCTCCGTCTGACCTCCATTTCAGCCCAACAGAAGAAAAAAAACATCTTGGGGTGGGTTGCTCACACTCAGCCAAGATTCTTACATCACTTCCTGTAGCATCTGGCAATGATCAGGGCCAGCCAGGGCAGACACAGCTAGGGAGGATGTAGCTTTCCCAGACTGACCTAGCGCCCGTCAACACACAGCTACTCCAGACCAGACAGCTACTCCAGATGCAATAATGTTTTTAAGAAGAGCTGTTTTGTATATACATTTAACTTCTTATTTCTTTCCGCTATCACTCTTTTTCCACCCCTCTCTCTCCCCACTCCTTCTCTTCCTCATCCACCTTGTCTTTCCTTCTCTCCCTCTCAGGATGACGTAGGGTTGGAGGTGGGAGTGAGTAGCATCGAGCTGTAGCAGAGCAGAGATGAGTCTCACATCATGGTTCCTGGTGAGCAGCGGGGGCACTCGCCACCGTCTGCCCCGGGAGATGATCTTCGTCGGCCGAGACGACTGCGAGCTCATGCTGCAGGTGAGCACAGCTCCAACTGCTAGAACACAACATGATTCAACACAACACAACACCAGTCACTGTAGACATAGATCATACCTGAATTAATGACTACTTGGTATTCACAGACTGTTTACTGAAAGTATCATAGTCTTTTATTATTTTTCTCCTTTATATGCTAGCGCCCAGGGGTGATCTCACCATTTTGATAAACATTGATACGGTGGGTGGGGGCTGTATCTAAGGAAACACCATGCAACATAATCAGACAATGGCAATATGATATATCCACAGGCACCCTGGTTTAAACACACAACTTCCTTTGTTTTTAGTGGAGCTGTTGGTGTTTCCAGAGGCTACGCCTGGAGCAGCTAAGCAGGCTGCTGCCGCTGTGAAAGTGATAGGGCTGAGAGCACCTTCTGTGTGAAAAAAATAAAATATGTATGCACTCACTAACTGTAAGTCGCTCTGGATAAGAGCGTCTGCTAAATGACTAAAATGTAAATGTAAATGTATATCACACACACAACCTCTAACCCCTGGGGATTAGGTCATGTGAACACAGCTAGTAACCCTTATGTTGCATGGTTTTTAGGAGGAAGGGAATGCATCAAGCTCACTGCCTTTTGGACAACCCTGTTGTTCAGTTTAAATGTGATATGTACATTTTTACAATGCTATTTTACAAAGCTTGTATCTCCTGAGGATAATGTATCTGAGCTTTGCAAGTTTTGATATTTATATCAAGTTTAAATATTTAATTTATACATGAATAGCTGTGTTATTCTTAATACTATTTTATCTAGGGTCTCATTTTACCACCCCACAGAGTACCAGGCCTGACATCTAGGCAGGACTCAGCAGAGTACCAGGCCTGACATCTAGGCAGGACTCAGCAGAGTACCAGGCCTGACATCTAGGCAGGACTCAGCAGAGTACCAGGCCTGACATCTAGGCAGGACTCAGCAGAGTACCAGGCCTGACATCTAGGCAGGACTCAGCAGAGTACCAGGCCTGACATCTAGGCAGGACTCAGCAGAGTACCAGGCCTGACATCTAGGCAGGACTCAGCAGAGTACCAGGCCTGACATCTAGGCAGGACTCAGCAGAGTACCAGGCCTGACATCTAGGCAGGACTCAGCAGAGTACCAGGCCTGACATCTAGGCAGGACTCAGCAGAGTACCAGGCCTGACATCTAGGCAGGACTCAGCAGAGTACCAGGCCTGACATCTAGGCAGGACTCAGCAGAGTACCAGGCCTGACATCTAGGCAGGACTCAGCAGAGTACCAGGCCTGACATCTAGGCAGGACTCAGCAGAGTACCAGGCCTGACATCTGAGCAGGGCTCAGCAGGGGGTGTCTTCCCAGAAGCCCTCCCAGAAAACTGTCAGAACCTGAATATTCACATGAAACCTGATTATATAACCTCCTATCCCCTTCTTTATTCTGCCTCTGTGGTTCTGTGTTGTTACATTGCCTCAAGAGGTAATTCAGACAATTGGAGAATTGTGAGCCACTAACCTCACAGAGACCTGCATTTGTTGTTATTACAGAAGTCAATACAACACTACAGTAGTAATAGTATAAAGACTGATAGTAACTGAATGGGCTTTGTTTAGGAGTACTCAGGGAGGGCATGCTGCATGGGAATGGTAGTCTACCTCACTCTGGGCACAGTGTGTGTGTGTGTGTGTGTGTGTGTGTGTGTGTGTGTGTGTGTGTGTGTGTGTGTGTGTGTGTGTGTGTGTGTGTGTGTGTGTGTGTGTGTGTGTGTGTGTGTGTGTGTGTGTGTGTGTGCGTGCGTGTGTCCACGCATGCATGTGTGTAAGAGAGAATGTCCCAGACAGAGATATTTATAGAAAGTGGGGCAGATACCTCCTGAGTTAGATCTATCCTGACTGAACGGGCTCCATAGGAAGTAGAGTGGCTGCTGCATTGCCAACTGTGGAGCAGAGAATGGGTGTGGTGTAGCAACAGTATATCATATACTACTTATGCGCAAACGGCTCAATTAAATCAGTATCGCGGAAGATTCAATCCGTGGTATAGCGCGATTTAAATTTAAAGGCAATGTTCCCGTGTTCGCAGAGATTGCATTCACAGTAAGCGCTGCATATTTCGTCTCAATCAGAAATTACCTTTAAATTTCAATCGCGCTACAGCGCGGATCTTGAACGCTATGGTTTGAATCTAGGCCTTAGACATAGGTTTCAAAGCAACAGCAATGGTAGTAAAACGAATTGGTAAACCTATTGGTTGTAGAATAATCCTTCAAAAAGTGTCACAGTACAATGATACAAATGTACTTTCTGTGCTCCTTGATGTCAACTCTGTGAATCTAACTAAATTAAACTTTCCACGCCAACTTAAGTAGTTGATTACTCACTGGTCAGGTTTGCTTAGTGCCTGTCCCTTTTTCAGCAAGGCTCTGGCCCCTGACTCTGTACAACGAGTACATGTATTTTAAAGTAACTGAATTGTACTGTATGTGTGGCAATACTGACAATGCTTCAGTCCTTAACAGTGATGTAGCTAGTGGTAAAATACAATTGGTGGGTAAACTCTGATCACCGGTCACAGTGAAAAAAGTAACGCTCCCTATACAGTGAGTTTTTGATTCCCTGCTGATTTTGTACGTTTGCCCACTGACAAAGACATGATCAGTCTATAATTTTAATGATAGGTTTATTTGAACAGTGAGAGACAGAATAACAACAAAAAAATCCAGAAAAACGCATGTCAAAAATGTTATAAATTGATTTGCATTTTAATGAGGGAAATAAGTACATGACTTAGTACTTGGTGGCAAAACCCTTGTTGGCAATCACAGAGGTCAGACGTTTCTTGTAGTTGGCCAACAGGTTGGCACACATCTCAGGAGGGATTTTGTCCCACTCCTTTTTGCTGACGTTTGGCAACTCGAACCTTCAGCTCCCTCCAAAGATTTTCTATGGGATTAAGGTCTGGAGACTGGCTAGGCCACTCCAGGACCTTAATGTGCTTTTTCTTGAGCCACTCCTTTGTTGCCTTGGCCGTGTGTTTTGGGTCATTGTCATGCTGGAATACCCATCCACGACCCATTTTCAATGCCCTGGCTGAGGGAAGGAGGTTTCTCACCCAAGATTTGACGGTACATGGCCCCGTCCATCGTCCCTTTGATGCGGTGAAGTTGTCCTGTCCCCTTAGCAGAAAAACACCCCCAAAGCATAATGTTTCCACCTCCATGTTTGACGGTGGGGATGGTGTTCTTAGGGTCATAGGCAGCATTCCTCCTCCTCCAAACACGGCGAGTTGAGTTGATGCCAAAGAGCTCCATTTTGGTCTCATCTGACCACAACACTTTCACCCAGTTCTCCTCTGAATCATTCAGATGTTCTGGGCTGATTCCTCACCATTCTCATGATCATTACAACTCCACGAGGTGAGATCTTGCATGGAGCCCCAGGCCGAGGGAGATTGACAGTTATTTTGTGTTTCTTCCATTTGCGAATAATCGCACCAACTGTAGTCACCTTCTCACCAAGCTGCTTGGCGATGGTCTTGTAGCCCATTCCAGCCTTGTGTAGGTCTACAATCTTGTCGTCCCTGACATCCTTGGAGAGCTCTTTGGTCTTGGCCATGGTGGAGAGTTTGGAATCTGATTGATTGATTGCTTCTGTGGACAGGTGTCTTTTATACAGGGAACAAACTGAGATTAGGAGCACTCCCTTGACGTGTACCTATGATGAAAATTACAGGCCTCTCTCATCTTTTTAAGTGGGAGAACTTGCACAATTGGTGGCTGACTAAATACTTTTTTCCCCCACTGTATGTGCAAGTAGAGATACTGGGGTGCAAAAGAGCAAAATAAATAACAATATAGGGATGAGGTAGTTGGGTGGGCTAATTTCAGATGGGCTGTGTACAGGTGCAGTGATCGGTAAGGTGCTCTGACAACTGATACTTAAAGTTAGTGAGGGAGATAAGAGTCTCCAGCTTCAGAGATTTTTGCAATTCGTTCCAGTCATTGGCAGCAGAGAGCTGGAAGGAATGGCGGCCAAAGGAGGTGTTGGTTTTGGGGATGACCAGTGAGATATACCTGCTGGAACGCAGACTACGGGTGGGTGCTGCTATGGTGACCAATGAGCTAAGATAAGGCGGGGATTTGCCTAGCAGTGATTTATAGATGGCCTGGAGCCAGTGGGTTTGACGATGAACATGTAGTGAGGACTAGCCAACAAGAGCGTACAGGTCACAGTGGTGGGTAGTGTATGGGGCTTTGGAGAAAAAACGGATGGCACTGTGATAGACTTCATCCAATTTACTGAGTAGAGTGTTGGAGGCTATTTTGTAAATGACATCGCCGAAGTCAAGGATCGGTAGGATAGTCAGTTTTACGAGGGCATGTTTGGCAGCATGAGTGAAGGAGGCTTTGTTGCGAAATAGGAAGCCGATTCTAGATTTAACTTTGGATTGGAGATTCTTAATGTGAGTCTGGAAGGAGAGTTTACAGTCTAACCAGACACCTAGGTATTTGTAGTTGTCCACATACTCTAGGTCAGACCCGTCGAGAGTAGTGATTCTAGTCGGGTGGGCGGGTGCCAGCAGCGTTCGATTGAAGAGCATGCATTTAGTTTTACTAGTGTTTAAGAGCAGTTGGAGGCTACTGAAGGAGTGTTGTATGGCATTGAAGCTCGTTTGGAGGTTTGTTAACACAGTGTCCAATGAAGGGCCAGATGTATACAAAATGGTGTAGTCTGCGTAGAGGTGGATCTGAGAGTCACCAGCAGCAAGAGTGACATCATTGATATACACGGAGAAAAGAGTCGGCACTTGAAACCCTGGCTTCACATACACTTTCTTGGAGACACAAATCAAGTCCTCCTTCAACCTCAGCAATCCTCAGTTTGTCTCTGTCTACTAATGAGTCATTAAGCAGCAGGTCATTATTAATACATCAGCACATCCCCAATAGAAGTTATAAGTTACCATGCTAAATGGCTTCTAAAGAACAAACAGTTCAGAGTGCCAACAAGATACTTAAAAGTTTTACTGCTGAAATCAGCATTGTTGGAATGAAAGGAACAAGGAGGCTGTCTTTTAAACAGGATCCTCTTTTCTTGTGTGGGTCTCTCTGATGACCTGGGGGAAAGAGAAGAGTTGGTACTTTGTTTAGTGTGAGTCTGCCAACGGAAAATACGCCTAGAGGTCTGGGCCATGTGACTGTTGTCACATGGGTATCTCAGCAATGTACAGGTTTAAGATCCGTTGCATGGCTTCCCAACGCAAGGGTATCAGACTCAAATCTGGACCACTCCCAACTAGGCCTCTTGTAGTTAGTAACAGTCAAATCATGTTTATGTTTGAAACGATTTATTCCACGAAGGAAACAGTCTCTCATGCTCTGTTCTCTACAATACTGTATATACAGTATGCTATCTACAGTAGGCTTATGTGAGTGTGAATGGCATGTTTTATTTCTCACTTATATATAACAAGTAATTTTCACCATGACACTTAGTTACTTCAAATGCATGATTTAATAGACAGTCCCTCTCCCTTCATTCTCCTGAATCACATAGCATGTTTTCATGCTCTGAACAGAGATGGAAAAGACAAGACTCCAGTAGACGTATGTGTGGGTGCTTTAGCTTTCTGTGTCTGTATGGATGCTCGATATGGCTCGTCTCCTCTGCAGTGTGGGAACTGGGAGATACTGTTCTATTGTAGGTGGGCTGGATCTCTACCACAGAGTCAGGCCAGATCAAACGAGCCCTGTTATCAGACATGCAGTGTGGCACACAGAGATTAGGTGCATGGGATTGGAGATGAAGCTCCCAGCAGGCCACCTCTCTCTTTCTCTCACTTCAGGGGGGAATCTTAATTTGAGATCTGTGCACTTACAGTAAGTGGACGTTTGTGTAAATCGTGCATTGATGTCAATGGAAGATTTGTGTGAAGTTAGGATATCTGTCACACATCGCTTAGCCATGCCGGCAGTAAAACATATAAACATGCAAACATACACACTTATTTCCTTACCGCTTCGAAACGGACTGGTATTCAAAACAGACAATATTACTCAGACCTAGGCTACTTGGCATGGAGCGATATCAGAAAAGTCTTATCTCTATATTGTACTGTATGTGTCTAGTCCCTGTGCTGTGGTATGTACTGTGTCACAGACACTAGTCTCCTGGTCTAATCTGGTTTGATCACAAACCTAATCTACAGGGGAAGGTTTGCCCTCAACAAATGTGTATATGGAATCAGAATACAGTATCTGCTCTGTGCAAGAATTCTCCATGTGTCCTTTATCCATTGTCCTATCATTTTCTAAATGTCATGACTCATGACAATTTGAATTATGAGTGGAATTTGGCATTGAATTTTTTTGTTTGTTTAGTGTACATCCCTGATCCATTCTCTAAAGTTTGCAATATCTAGATGTTTCAAATAAATCAAACTCTAAAGAGCTGATAGGGCGCTCTCTGGAGATGGCAATAAATCTATACTATCTATCTCTCTTCCTCCCTCCACTTCCCCCTACATATTGTGTTGTGTGTGTGTGTGTTTGTGCGTCCATCTCTGTCTGTTTGAGAATAATACAGGGCCGAACTGTGTTATAAAAAAGGGCGGCAGGTAGCCTAGCAGTTAGAGCGTTGGGCCAGTAACCGAAAGGTTGCTGGTTCGGATATCCGAGTGGGCAAGGTGAAGAATCTGTTGATGTGCCCTTGAGCAAGGCACTTAACTCGAATTTGCTCCAGGGGTACGGTACTAGTGGAGAATAAACTGGATGATCTCCGTTCGAGACTATCCTACCAACGGGACATTAAAAACTGTAATATCTTATGTTTCACCGACGACATGGATAATATACAGTTGGCTGGGTTTTCCGTGCATCGGCAGGACAGAACAGCTACGTCTAGTAAGACGATGGTTGGGAGTGTGTGTCTATTTTTCAATAGCAGCTGGATGTATAATATTAAGAAAGTCTTGAGGTATTGCTCGCCTGAGGTAGAGTATCTCATGATAAGCTGTAGACCACACTATCTACCAAGAGTGTTTTCATCTATATTTTTCGTAGCCATCTATTTACCACCACAAACCGATGCTGGCACTAAGGCCGCACTCAACAAGCTGTATAAGACCATAAGCAAACAACAAAATGCTCATCCAGAAGCGGCGCTTCTAGTGGCCAGGGACTTTAATGCAGGCAAAATTAAATCAGTTTTACCTCATATCTACCAGCATGTCACATGTGCAACCAGAGGGAAAAAAACACTACACCACCTTTACTCCACACACAGAGACGCATACAAAGCTCTCCCTCGCCCTCCATTTGGCAAATCTGACCATAATTATGTCCTCCTGATTCCTGCTTACAAGCAAAAACTAAAGCAGGAAGTACCAGTGACTCACTCAATACGGAAGTGGTCAGATGACACGGATGCTAGGCTACAGGACTGTTTTGCTAGCACAGACTGGAATATGTCCTAGGATTCATCCAATGGCATTGAGGAGTATACCACCTCAGTCACCGGCTTCATCAATAAGTGCATCGACGATGTCATCCCCACAGTGACCGTACGTACAAATCCCAACCAGAAGCCATGGATTACAGGCAACATCCGCACCGAGCTAAAGGCTAGGAACAGGACACTAATCCGGACGCTTATAAGAAATCTCGCTATGCCCTCAGACGAACCATCAAATAGGCAAAGCGTCAAAACAGGACTAAGATTGAATCCTACTACACCAGCTCTGACCCTCGTCGGATGCGTCAGGCCTTGCAAACTATTACAGACTACAAAGGGAAACCCAGCCGCGAGCTGCCCAGTGACGCGAGCCTACCAGACGAGCTAAATGCCTTTTATGCTCGCTTCGAGGCAAGCAACACTGAAGCATGCATGAGAGCAACAGTTGTTCCGGAAGACTGAGTGATCACGCTCTCCGTAACCGATGTGAGCAAGACCTTTAAACAGGTCAACATTCACAAGGCTGTGGGGCCAGACGGATTACCAGGACGTGTACTCAGAGCATGCGCGGACAAACTGGCAAGTGTCTTCACTGACATTAAAAACCTCTCCCTGACCGAGTCAGTAATACCTACATGTTTCAAGCAGACCACCATAGTCCCTGTGCCAAAGAAAGCGAAGGTAACCTGCCTAAATGACTACCGCCCCGTAGCACTCACGTCGGTAGCCATGAAGTGCTTTGAAAGGCTGGTCATGGCTCACATCAACACCATCATCCTGGAAAACCTAGACCCACTCCAATTCGCATACCGCCCCAACAGATCCACAGATGACGCAATCTCAATCGCACTCCACACTGCCCTTTCCCACCTGGACAAAAGGAACACCTATGTGAGAATGCTGTTCATTGACTACAGCTCAGCGTTCAACACCATAGTGCCCACAAACCTCATCACTAAGCTAAGGACCCTGGGACTAAACACCTCCCTCTGCAACTGGATCCTGGACTTCCTGACGGGCCGCCCCCAGGTGGTAAGGGTAGGCAACAACACATCTGCCACGCTGATCCTCAACACGGTTCCTTGGTGTCCACATCACCAACAAACTATCATGGTCCAAACACACCAAGACAGTCGTGAAGAGGGCACGACAACACCTTTCCCCCTCAGGAGAATGAAAAGATTTGGCATGGGTCCCCAGATCCTCAAAAAGTTATACAGCTGCACCATTGAGAGCATCCTGACCGGTTGCATCACCGCCTGGTATGGCAACTGCTCGGTATCCGACCCTAAGGCGCTACAGAAGGTAGTGCGTACGGCCCAGGACATCACTGGGGCCAAGCTTCCTGCCATCCAGGACCTAAATACTAGGCGGTGTCAGAGGAAGGCCCAATAAATTGTCAAAGACTCCAGTCACTCAAGTCATAGACTGTTCTATCTGCTACCGTACGGCAAGCGGTACCGGAGCGCCAAGTCTAGGTCCAAAAGACTCCTTAACAGCTTCTACCCCCAAGCCATAAAACTGCTGAACTATTAATCAATTGGCCACCCAGACTATTTACATTGAACAACCCCCCCCCCCCCCCCCCCCCCCCTTTGTTTTTACACTGCTGCTACTCGCTGTTTATTATCTATACATAGTCACTTTACCCCTACCTCCATGTACAAATTACCTCCACTAACCTGTACCCCCACACATTGACTCGGTACCGGTATATATATATATATAAAAAATAAAAAAGTATTATAAATGGAAATATACAGTACATACCTCTGTGTTACAAAAATGTAATCTGACCTCAAAGCACAATTGTGTTAACAATGCATGTTATTCCTCCTTCAAACACTGACATTGCTGCATGGTTGGATGTTGAAACTATCATGCACACATATTTCAAGTTCAGCATTGATGTCAAGTTACCATCTAACAATGTATAACACCATTACTGTTGTGTTTGTGTTTACAGTCGCGGAGTGTTGACAAGCAGCATGCAGTCATCAACTATGAGTTGACCAGCGATGAGCACAAAGTCAAGGACCTGGGCAGCCTGAACGGGGTGAGTGAGGGCAGGGGAGGGGAGGAGAAGATATGTAAAAGGGTCAGAGGTCAGGGGTTAAAGGGAAATTTCACTGCTGCTCTATTTCACTATATATGTCCATTAAAATGTTATTAACATATCATATGTGTCATAAAAATTTTGCATTTCCTCACTACACGCAAATATGAGCGTTTCTGCATCTCAACGGTAGAAACGGGCCAGCTACATTTTCTGGCTGTAAGCAAATCATAATATCCAGAATTCATAGTGATTTCAGGATGTAGTACCACCCCTTGGAGGTGTATCCAGTTGATGTGAGAAATATCAAAATGTCTGTGTTTGTAGCCAGCACTTTCAGCCAGAGGATTTCGAAACGGAACTGAAGTCTCAACTAATGGGTTTGCCATGTCATCGAATGTTGAAAAGTGATGCTATTCCATTGATTTTCCCCTTCACTTCAAAGAGGAAGGCATCCAATCAGCCAACATCAGAGCAGCAGTAAAGAAGTCAAGGTGAGGTAAGGTAGCTAACGATCCCTAGCTAACTAGCTAGATAGCATCGAACTACATTTGTTTATCTAAACCAAAATCTAGATAGCTAGCTTTCATAATACGCTGGCTAGACATTCCAAAGCATATCAATGTAATTAGCCAGCTTCTAAATCTTTCCATGACTCCATGATGAGCAAATACATATACTGGAGATAGGCATAAACATGGTCCGTGTCTTGTTGTCATAGTTGGTGTGTTTACAAGTACTGTAGGCTGCAACTTCTACTGTAGTTTTCTCTGTATTATGGAGGCTTAGTTGATTGTTGCTGCAAGGTTTGAAGTCTAAATAGGAGAAAATGAGGTATTAGTAAGGAGGAGATAGTGTGGGTGACTGACTGGTGTCTGTTGGGGGTGGGTATTGTGTGTGAAGGTTAGTATGCATGATCTATTGACATGAGGGGGGTGGGTGAATATAATAACTTGTTTAAGTGTGTATTGATGGAGAAAAAGTTGTAAAATGTTGGCTAATCACTGACTACAGTGTGTTCTTCAGACTAATCCTACTGCTGATGACAATGACCTTGACACCAGCTTTAGTAGTACAGAGCCTGTAGACCCATTGGATGAAAGCTTTCAGCCTGCAATAAGCTCAAGCTCAACATGATCTGACTTTGAAACAAGCCAGGACAGCCAAAGTTATTTATGAAAGCACAATATCCTCTTGAGAAAACAAAATTACCAATACACTAAACTGTCTACAAGACAAGTGCTCCTCAAACGTTTCACACCCTTGCAGTCAGTTCTTTGGCATGGGGAGAGGGGCTGTTAGTATACTCTTCTAGCCTATGCACTCTATTGTTCGCAGTGCTTGTCTACTCAACAGCACAACTGTAAGTGCTCATACACAACAATACACGACTAGACTGTCTACAAGTCAAGCTCCCCTTACAGTTTTCACATCTTTGCTAACAGCCTATCTCAATGCCCCATTATTGACTCTGAGTGTAACAAAACACATACCAGTCTACTGTACCCTTTTTTGTTTTCAGATGAACATAGTTTATTGTATGGTTACACATCCTCATGATCAGTCTTCATGTATTACACATCCTCATGATCAGTCTTCATGTCTTTCCAGGAGACTTGCAGTACAAACAAATCTTCTGCAAGAGGTCGAAGCAGTGGGTGGTGAAGAAAGTGTACGAGAGGCTTGTCCACCTGACTGTGGAGTGCAGAAAGGACCAGACGGTTGTCTACAAGGAGCCGGAGTCACAGCCCCCCAAACCCAACATCCCTGCCAACATCACCACAGCGCAAAAGCCTGCCAAACCAGCTGCCAGTACCCAACACTAGAAGAGGTTCACCAGCTGAAGAACATTCTAGAACCTGCCTGGAACATTCACCATATTCAGTTAGACTGATGTTGTAGTATAATATAGAATGTCTAGTATGCTCACAACTGCATTGTGGTATATATAGTGCTAGCTGTTGTACATACAGTATGCATATAATGGTGTTTTATAGTTTTTACAACTGTACTGACAAGTGACTAAATTATTCCAGCTGCATCAGAAACCAATAAAGAGTTGACTTCAACTTCTGGATCAATTTATTGTGATATTCATGAAATGTATTTGGATAAACTAGCTTCAGTCTTACTGCTAAAACAAATGATGCAGGGAGTTGGTGTAGCATTTAAACTTACATTTGTTGGCAAGTAAACATGTTTCAATAAAACAGTAGATTAGTCTGTCAATATAGCAAATAAGTAGACATGGTTTGTATTCAAGACAAAGTTTATTTGCTCTGGAGACCGAGGTGAGTTTACACAGAAGTATGCAGGAACAGTTATGGCAATGTATGACATATATAGTAGAAGAAAAATATACCACTAACGCTTATAATAGATACTACAGTTCTACAAAGGGAATACTTGCATATGGTGTGTTTGGGTGATGCAGTGAGGTGTTCGGAGTCACTTTGATACAAGGGGAGATTGTTGTTATGGGACCTTTCACATCTCTTCAGAGTTATCAACTTTGTATCCAAGCGGTATTGTCTTTGAGAGAAATATGAAAACGCTATTACACATTCATGGGAAATCATTGTGTACTGTCTGTATTCCTACTGTAGCAGCATGGTGTAGAATATGAGACATCTCACAGACACGTTAGCTAGCTAGCTGGCTAGCTACAACACACAGGTATAGTTACTCCAAGACTAATATGAGTCATAAAGCCAAAGTCATTCCTTTACTCTCCACCATCATCATCAAAACATTTCTCAAATTTTGCTCCTAATGAGAGGCACTGAGGCTAGCTAGGCTAGTTAGCTAGCTAGCTATAACATCAGACTACCATACATTTTAGGTATTGCAAATACACAGCTAGCTAGCTAAACTTGGCTAGCTTGCCTTGTAGTGGTACTAGCAAGTACTGTTATGGCCGAAACGTTCACCAAATTGTACTGTACTGAAAAACACTGCCTCGTGTAAAAAGATAACTTATATTGTTAGCTAGATACTGACAGCAAAACAACTTATTCATTTGTAATTTGCCCTCCTGAGTCCCGGTCCAGCTGGTCTAGGCTGCCACCGGTGCTTGCTGGTCTCGCAATTATTTTTCTCGCTGTCTCAACTCCTCTTCAGTGTATTCCAGCTCAAAGAAACAGGGCTGTATGTTCCTATGTAAAAGAACATCAAAAAAGGTTTTGTCATCCTGCTCATCTTGGAAAGAGGAATCATCAGAAGCAACCATTGTAGCTAATTCTTTTTGCAATCTCGGATAGACGGTAACATAGCTCCTATGAACCTGTAAACTATTCTGTAGTCTTTACAAAGCCAGGAAAATGAGTCAACCTAAATATCCTGCAATGGCCTGGCAGATAGGAACATTGTTGAGACGAGTCCAATGGCTTTATTGAACAAGGACAACCATATCTACTAGCTGCTAGCTTGATCGTGCAATCGGCGAAACACAAAGGCCACAATAATTGCTACAAAACATGAATGCATTCATTTTTAGATCAGACAGCAGGCACAATCAACCAATGACGTCATTGGTTGAACTCTCCCAGGGCGAAAATAAAAAAATACAGCTATAGTGCATAATTATGTCTGAAACACCGTCTCATCATTCATAATTATGTAGGGAGACAGGAAAACACCCCAAATAGTGTCTAGCGGTGAAGTTTCCCTTTAAGTGCTTCATCTCTAGGCTAATATTTGCTCCAGCTTTGACTTGAGCGGAATTGACAGGGCTGGGTGTAATACCTCACCCGTAAATGTGTGTCGCCTCCCGAGTGGCGCAGCAGTCTAAGGCACTGCATCGCAGTGCATGAGGTGTCACTACAGACCCGGGTTCGATCCCAGGCGACCCGGGTTCGAGCCCAGGCTGTGTCACAGCCGGCCGGCGCACAATTGGCCCAGTGTCGTCCGGGTAAGGGAGGGCTTGGCCGGCCGGGATTTCCTTGTCCTATCGCGCTCTAGCGACTCCTTGTGGCGGGCAGGTCGCCAGCTGGACGGTGTTTCCTCTGACACATTGGTGCGGCTGGCTTCCGGTTTAAACAAGCAGTGTGTCAAGAAGCAGTGCGGCTTGGCAGGGTCATGTTTCTGAGGACGCATGACTCTCGACCTTCGCCTCTCCCAAATCCGTAGGGGAGTTGCAGCGATGGGACAAGACTGTAACTACCAATTGGGGAGAAAAAGGTGTAAAAGTACAAAAAATATATATATATATTTGTGTCACATGGCATTAACAGAATGTATTCTCAAATGATGTGCCCCTATTCTACACCATAAGCTTTTCACGGCAGAGTAAAACCATGTTGAAGTGCTCTTCCCACCACATGGTGTGAGAAATGTGTTAGTTAGTTCTAGTTCTGCTGATGGCTCAGTGTGTAACTCACTCAGTGTGTAGGCTAACCCACTAGCTTGGAACCACTGTGACACATTATCTCAGGCAGGAAGCTGAAGTCATAACCTCTTCCTCCTGAATCATGCACCAGCATTCCTCCCCCGCTGTCCAAGGGCCCGTGGCGACAGGAAGTAGCATTCCATCCCATGCTGGGCCAATCAGAGCCTGACTGCTGAATGACCTGCACATCTTGCTCATCTTTAGGATAGATCTTGAATCATAAGGAAAGTCAGCGGTATTACTTATTATGTGTATACTCAATCTGTCCAGGACACTGTTCTGATCAATCCTGATAACAACAACAGTCATAACTGCATCTCCTAAATAGACATTGTAACAACCTCTAAGCAAAGATTTCAATTACCCAATTTAACCCTACTTCGCTTTTAGAGTAGAGTGTGATTTCTAGTTCTAGATGAAGGACCCAGATAGGAAAAATGACTTCTTGTCCCCTTCATCAAGTTCTGTTACACTATTTAGAGGTCAGACAGAGACAGACACAGAGTCAGTCTCAGGAAGCTTAATCAGTGTCAGTGATGATTGAAAATGTTTGGTCAGTGAGGCCAGAGATGCTAGTGCTTTCCTGGCTCTGCTCTGCACCCACCATCTGATATACCTTCCATAAACAGACCACATCAGCTGATTCAACGATGTCTCTGGCTGCAGTGGGACATTTTTAACATCACCTGAGTATTTAAAGAGCCGTCTTTCCTTTTATAATGTCACTATGGCTGGTTCTTATGGGGGGATTGGAGATACCTGCAAGAAAACCAGAAATCCCATTTACTTAAGATTTTTACAATCCTGATCTAATACAACCCTGATTCAATTTCCAGCCATCACCTTTTTACTTTACGTTTGTGATGATTTGTATCTGAGAATGAAAGGTGATATGATTGTATTCTGGGTTAAGTGTTGCCTGAAATTAAGTGTGCTGGGAACAGTTTCCCTTAATTCATTATGTATTTACCCGTGGGGATTTTAAGCAATGAGAACTGGGCTAGCATGCCTTGCACTGGAGAGAGTCGGAGCGCAGTGAATGAGGTTTTCTCTCTTTTCTCTCCACACAGACATTTGTGAATGATGTCCGAATCCAAGAGCAGATGTATATCACTTTGAAGATTGATGACAAATTAAGGTTTGGATATGATATCCTTTCAATCATTCCGTCGTTACAACCTTAGTGACACAACAGTACTGCAATCCAAAAAAACATGAAGCATCTGTTCATTTAATTGCTCTCGTCCCACTGATCATTTGTCAAGCTCTATAGTTTTTAAGTGTCAAGCTGTCATTCACTCAATTGTGGTTTCGGCCTTGAATGACTGTTGTGTGTGTATAATGAAGTGGCTGTGAGGATAGATGCAAACAGTGTGAAAGTGTCTTTCCTTAACCTGTCTCACATACCAACCTGTTCACGGTGGTGCGAGGGGAGATGACTGTCCCAGACGAGGCTCTGCAGGTAAGACACTTCCCGCGTCGCTGAACTCCAGACACAACACACAATACACAATACACAATACACAATACACAACACACAACACACAACCCTTCACATGTTAAAATAACATCAAATTGATCAGAAATACAGTGTAGACATTGTTGTAAATGGCTATTGAGCTGGAAACGGCTGATTTTTAATGGAATATCTACATAGGCGTACAGAGGCCCATTATCAGCAACCATCAGTCCTGTGTTCCAATGGCACGTTGTGTTTGCTAATCCAAGTTTATAATTTAAAAAGGCTAATTCATTAAATAGTATCCGCAAAACACCAGTCTCAATGTCAACAGTGAAGAGGCGACTCCGTGATGCTGACCTAGGCAGAGTTGCAAAGAAATAGTCCAGTGTTCTTTTGCCCATCTTTTCTTTTTATTGGCCAGTCTGAGATATGGCTTTTTCTTTGCAACTCTGCCTAGATGGTCAGCATCCCGGAGTCGCCTCTTCACTGTTGACGTTGAGACCGGTGTTTTGCAGGTACTATTTAATGTAGCTGCCAGTTGAGGACCTGTGAGGCGTCTGTTTCTCAAACTAGACACTCTAATGTATTTGTCCTCTTGCTCAGTTGTGCACCGGGGCCTCCCACGCCTCTTTCTATTCTGGTTAGAGCCAGTTTGCGCTGTTCTGTGAAGGGAGTAGTACACAGCGTTGTACGAGATCTTCAATTTCTTGGCAATTTCTCGCATGGAATAGCCTTCATTTCACAGAACAAGAATAGACTGACGAGTTTCAGAAGAAAGTTCTTTGTTTCTGGCCATTTTGATCCTGTAATCGAACCCACAATTGCTGATACTCCAGATACTCAACTAGTCTCAAGAAGGCCAGTTTTTTTTATCAGCGCAACAGTTTTCAGCTGTGTTAACATAATTGCAAAAGGGTTTTCTAATGATCAATTAGCCTTTTAAAATGATAAACTTGGATTAGCAAACACAACATGCCATTGGAACACAGGACTGATGGCTGCTGATAATGGGCCTCTGTAGGCCTATGTAGATATTCCATTAAAAATCAGCCGTTTCCAGCTACAATAGCCATTTACAACATTAACAATGTCTACACTGTATTTCTGATTAATTTAATGCTATTTTAAGGGACAAAATAATTGCTTTTCTTTCGAAAAGAAGGACATTTCTAAGTGACCCCAAACTTTTGAACGGTAGTGTACATGTACAGTGCCTTCAGAAAGTATTCACACCCCTTGACTTCTTCCACATTTTGTTGTGTTACAGCCTCAATTTAAAATTGATTAAATTGAGATTTTTTTTGTCACTGGCATACACACAATACCACATAATGTCAAAGTGGAATTATGTTTTTCAATTTTTTAAAACTAATTAATAAAAAATGTCAAGCTGAAAAGTCTTGAGTCAATAAGTATTCAACCCCTTTGTTATGGCGAGACTAAACAAGTTCAGGAGTAAAGATTAGCTTAACAAGTCACAATATAAGTTGCATGGACTCACTCTGTGTGCATTAATAGTGTTTAACATGATTTTTGAATGACTACCTCATCTCTGTACCCCACACATAGAATTATCTGTAAGGTCCCTCAGTCGAGCAGTGAATTTCAAACACAGATTCAACCACAAAGACCAGGGACGTTTTCCACTGCCTCGCAAAGAATGATACCTATTGGTAGATGGGTAAAAATAAAAAAAAGCAGACATTGAATATCCCTTTGAGTATGGTGAAGTTATTAATTACACTTTGGATGGTGTATCAATACACCCAGTCACTACAAAGATACAGGCGTCCTTCCTAACTCAGTTGTCAGAGAGGAAGGAAACCGCTCAGGGATTTCATGATAAGGCCAATGGTGACTTTAAAACAGTTACAGAGTTTAATGGCTATGATAGGAGAAAACTGAGGATGGATCAACAACATTGTACAGTGGGGAAAAAAAGTATTTAGTCAGCCACCAATTGTGCAAGTTCTCCCACTTAAAAAGATGAGAGAGGCCTGCAATTTTCATCATAGGTACACGTCAACTATGACAGACATATTGAGATTTTTCTTCTCCAGAAAATCACATTGTAGGATTTTTTATGAATTTATTAGCAAATTATGGTGGAAAATAAATATTTGGTCACCTACAAACAAGCAAGATTTCTGGCTCTCACAGACCTGTAACTTCTTCTTTAAGAGCCTCCTCTGTCCTCCACTCGTTACCTGTATTAATGGCACCTGTTTGAACTTGTTATCAGTATAAAAGACACCTGTCCACAACCTCAAACAGTCACACTCCAAACTCCACTATGGCCAAGACCAAAGAGCTGTCAAAGGACACCAGAAACAAAATTGTAGACCTGCACCAGGCTGGGAAGACTGAATCTGCAATAGGTAAGCAGCTTGGTTTGAAGAAATCAACTGTGAGAGCAATTATTAAGAAATGGAAGACATACAAGACCACTGATAATCTCCCTCAATCTGGGGCTCCACGCAAGATCTCACCCTGTGGGGTCAAAATGATCACAAGAACGGTGAGCAAAAATCCCAGAACCACACGGGGGGACCTAGTGAATGACCTGCAGAGAGCTGGGACCAAAGTAACAAAGCCTACCATCAGTAACACACTACGCCGCCAGGGACTCAAATCCTGCAGTGCCAGACATGTCCCCCTGCTTAAGCCAGTACATGTCCAGGCCCGTCTGAAGTTTGCTAGAGTGCATTTGGATGATCCAGAAGAGGATTGGGAGAATGTCATATGGTCAGATGAAACCAAAATATAACTTTTTGGTAAAAACTCAACTCGTCGTGTTTGGAGGACAAAGAATGCTGAGTTGCATCCAAAGAACACCATACCTACTGTGAAGCATGGGGGTGGAAACATCATGCTTTGGGGCTGTTTTTCTGCAAAGGGACCAGGACGACTGATCCGTGTAAAGGAAAGAATGAATGGGGCCATGTATCGTGAGATTTTGAGTGAAAACCTCCTTCCATCAGCAAGGGCATTGAAGATGAAACGTGGCTGGGTCTTTCAGCATGACAATGATCCCAAACACACCGCCCGGGCAACGAAGGAGTGGCTTCGTAAGAAGCATTTCAAGGTCCTGGAGTGGCCTAGCCAGTCTCCAGATCTCAACCCCATAGAAAATCTTTGGAGGGAGTTGAAAGTCTGTGTTGCCCAGCGACAGCCCCAAAACATCACTGCTCTAGAGGAGATCTGCATGGAGGAATGGGCCAAAATAGGAGGAATGGGCCAAAATACCAGCAACAGTGTGTGAAAACCTTGTGAAGACTTACAGAAAACGTTTGACCTGTGTCATTGCCAACAAAGGGTATATAACAAAGTATTGAGAAACTTTTGTTATTGACCAAATACTTATTTTCCACCATAATTTGCAAATAAATTCATTAAAAATCCTACAATGTGATTTTCTGGATTTTTTTTTCTCATTTTGTCTGTCATAGTTGACGTGTACCTATGATGAAAATTACAGGCCTCTCTCATCTTTTTAAGTGGGAGAACTTGCACAATTGGTGGCCGACTAAATACTTTTTTTCCCCACTGTAGTTACTCCACAATACTAATCTAAATGACAGAGTGAAAAGAAGAAAGACTGTACACAATAAAAATATTCCAAAACATGCATCCTGTTTGCAACAAGGCACTAAAGTAATACTGCAAAACATGTGGCAAAGCAATTAACTTCTTATCCTAAATACAAAGTGTTCTTTTTTGGGCAAATCCAATACAACACATTACTGAGTACCACTCTCCATATTTTCAAGCATAGTGGTGGCTACATCATGTTATGGGTATGCTTGTAATCGTTAAGGACTGGGGAGTTTTTCAGGATAAAAAAGAAACAGAATGGAGCTAAGCATAGGCAAAATCTTAGAGGAAAACCTGGTTCAGTCTGCTTTCCACTAGACACTGGAAGATTAATTCACCTTTCAGCAGGACAATAACCTAAAACACAAGGCCAAATCTACACTGGAGGTGTTTACCAAGAAGATAGTGAATGTTCTTAAGTCTCATAGTTATTACAGTTTTGACTTAAATCTGCTTGAAAATATATGGCAAGACCTGAAAATTGTTGTCTAGCAATGATCAACAACCAAGAGCTTGAAGAATTCTGAAAAGAATAATGGGCTAATATTGTACAATCCAGGTGTGCAAAGCTCTTACAGACTTACCCATAAAGACTCACAGCTGTAATCGCTGCCAAAGGTGATTCTAACATGTATTGACTCAGGGGGTTAAATACTTATCTAATCAAGATATATTACAGTTTTTTTTTTCATGTTTTAATTTTTAATTTTTACAAATGTTAGACTTTTTCTTCCACTTTGACATTACAGAGTAATTTGTCTAGATCGTTGACAACAAAATGACAATTAAATACATTTTACTCCCTGTGATGAGTGTGATAGAAGGAGTCAGGCGCAGGAGGGTATATCACCGAATACAGAGTTTATTCCGTTGGACACAATTGCGCTGGATAGCGACAACAGAAAACAGGCACAGGGGAAACCATCTACCCTGGCAATACAAGGTACAGGTAGCTCCAGCAATATACAGGCACAGGGGAATAATCTACCCCGGCAATACAAGGTACGAGTAGCTCCACCGAGCTACACTACTCTCACAATAAACAATCACCTACAAGGACAAGGGAGGCAGAGGGAACACTTATACACAGACTAATGAGGGGATATGAACCAGGTGTGTGTAATTGACAAGACAAGACAAATGGAATGATGAGATATGGAGCGGCAGTGGCTAGTAAGCCGGTGATGATGAACGCCGAAGCCTGCCAAGGAGGGGAGGCAGCCTCGGCGGACGTCGTGACACTCCCACTTTGTAACACAACAACATGTGGAAAAGGTCAAGGGGTGTGAATACTTTCTGAAGGCACTGTGCATAACTATTTTGTACTCAATATTGTGCTAAATATCTATACCCAGGAATGTCAGGGGTGCTAATTTCTGCTAAATATAAAAATAGCGCCGGTTATATCATAGTATAAAAAAGTGTCTGTATGTAGACTCATGAGCTCATAGCTTGCCCCATGCAAGTATAACTTTGAGCTGTGTGTGTGTGTATGTGTGCGTGTCAGCATTAGATTAAAGATGATATTTTTGGCCATGACGGTGTCCTCCGCCTTCCCCTGCTGTGTCTCTTCCGCTCTCTCTCTCCCTTGCCCCCTCGCCCCCTCACTGTCTCCCTCCCTCCCTCTCTTTCCCTCCATCAGCATGAGAAGTTCACCAGCCAGCTCCAGCTGAGTAAGAAGCCCTCCAGTGGTGAGCCCACCAAGTCACCTGCCAAATCTCCTACCAAGTCCCCTGCTAAGACCCCCAAGTCCCCCAGCTCCAGACCAGCCGAGAGCAAGGCAGCCGAGGGGACCATGGAGCCATCGGCCAAACCTGCCGAGTCACACAAGGGAGATGACAAGATGGCAGGTGAGAGCAGGAGCACATATAAGAGATGACATGTATGTTGTACATTACAGTATAATCCAGTCATTTCAGGGAAAAACTGAATGGGATACTTCAGTGTTGATCTTCAAGTGATTCAATCATGACAGTATTTGGAGATTCTGGCCATTTCTGCATCCAAGTTGTGACTGGATTCATAATTCAATTTTATACCGATAGCATTTTAGAATCAGTATTCTGAATGAGTAAGCAACGAATGTCTTGATCCTACCATAGATTATACAGTATAGATACACATGTCATCTGAAAAGACTAATAAACCTCCATCTTTCACTGCCTGTCCCTTCTGCAGCTTTTTATTTTCATCTATTGCCTGTAATAAAAGAGTGAGGGCTTAGGGCGGATGTTTAAATTACACATTGTAAATCCAGCTGAATCTCATTAAAGCAACTTTAAAAACAACACAATAATCTGAGCAACTGTCCCTGTACCACTGGAGTGTCTTATTTGATTGGCCAGCCCAGCATGCTCCTGTGCCCACTCTCAGTAGCATAGCTATAATTATCTACAGGAGGTGGTAGAGTGGCTGCAGCTGCTCCCGCTCTCCTCTCTCTCTGTTTCTGTTTCTGTCTTCTCTCCCCTGTGCTTTTGGTAGGAAGAATGTCCGCTACACTTGCATCGTTTACACACTCAATAGTCAAGTCACTCAACTGGAGGGGGAGCTTATGCTGGTGTTGGTGTAGGTAACGGTGGATATTTGACTGATGTTAGTGTCTCTTACAGTAGGTGGTGCAGATACTGTATACTCTGTGGGAGGCTGAGGGAATGTATTGAGTTGAATAGCTACTGTATTACAGATGGCACTGTATATTTGTCTAGCTTTTAACAGGGGAACCATGGCTTTTGCATTGTGACACAGTACATGGTTCATTGTCATTACATTAGGAATCTCAGAGGGATTTTTTCTACCCACTGGCCTTTTACAGTAGGTTACCTGGGGCGGCAGGTAGCCTAGCGGTTATGAGCGCTAGGCTACAGAAAGGTTGCTGGTTTGAATCCCCAAGCCGACTAGGTTAATGGTCTGTCGACATAACATTGAGCAAGGCACTTAACCCTAATTGCTACTGTAAAAGTGTCTGCTAAATTACTTAAATGTTAAGCTGTTTGGTCCCTTTGGATTGAGTAGTTTGTTCTGAAATATGAGAAGATGTCCTTAATGAATTACTTTAGCCATGGTATATAGTCTCAGGATCAAAACAACATATGTTCTAACACTGTCATATGGGGCATCAGACTTAACCCATGAGTCCAGTGTACCAACATTACATGTAACCCTGCTTGCCACCCACTATGTGTTTAATTACAACCTCTGCAGTGGGGGGCCTTCAGCAGAGGGCCTATAATGATAGGCAGAGCCACATCCACATACGTCTCCTCCATTACCCGATGGCCATTAAAAAAAATAGGAGGTGGGAAGCGTTTACATGTGTTTCTCCTTCTCTGCCACCTGGATATTTTAGCCTGGTAATTGTCAGTTTGATGCTAATGTGTTATTCCCCCTTGCCGACTCAGACTCAGCCAATGAACGTATGTTCCCTTTCCTCTCTGCAGCACACCACCATAGGTTCACTGGAGATATTATGCAAGCAGGCATAGCTCCTCACCAAGCTTGCAGCATTTATAGGCATTTATAGGCATTTTGAACACAATCCTCTGTGACTATGCACAGTAATTAATGGTTTCTTTGGGTTTTGTTCAACAGATGTAGGATCTTCATTTGAGCTAGTTTGCTACAGCAGAAACGCTTTCCAGCCAGTCTGTTTGAAGTCAGATCTGCCATATGTGTTGGTTGTGTGTTGAGTTAAGCTCATTGGTGATAAGCGAGCAGAGCCTGGTGTTGAAGGGTTTGTCCCTCTGTGTCCTGCTGACTGGGTTATGTAGGTCAGTGGAATGGCTAAAGCCAAACCAGTGCTCCATGACCCATCATCCAGCTTTAAGACAGAGGAATTAAAAGACAAAAGTGCAGCTGTGCTCAGGAAGTATTGCATGACCATCACAGTAACTGGCCTGTTACTGTGTCGATTGACTTCATTCATGTATATGTATATTGTGCTTGTGAAAAATGTATGTTTCACAAGCACAATAAGTAGATTATTCAATCTAAATCTAGTGAAACTTCTTGTGTTTGTGTTATAGGGGACATAGCATCATTGCACCGGGGAACCCCTCTGTATGGACAGCCATCTTGGTGGGGGGATGGGGACGCAGACGACGAGAACTCCTTCAAGCAGGAGACCAAGACGTGTGGGAAGAAGCATGACAGCTCTGCAGCAGGTAAGAACAAAAAAGGACCTCATCATATCTAAAAAAGAAAAAGAAATGTCCATGACATGCATACTGTACAATACACTCTAGGGCCTAAAGAACATGATCGAATTACATTCCTGATGGCATGAGGTCAAATCAAGATAAACTGATCTGCTATCTTTTTACCCGTGTTTTTATGAAATAGCAGGGAATTTGAACTGGCAATTTGTTTGTAGACGTTCCTGGTTGATCATTGTACCCTATGCAATGTTTGTTCTGAAATAATCCCGTTGTTATAACAGAACTATACCATCCCAACGTTGGAAGATAAAGCACAGAATACTTTCTATAAGTAGTGAAATGGTGGCTTTATGTTAATTTCCAGGCTTATCCTGTCTCTGTGTATTGAGGATAATGGCGATCCGGACTCACAGTACACAGTGTGTATATGCACTGTGTGTGTGTCTGTGTTGGTTCGGAGGACTGGGATCACATTAACTTGTGCTGGGCAGGAGTAACAGGATTAGAGATTAGGCCAGGCTTGGACGCAGCAGGACACCCAATGGGTGCTGGGGTGGAGTGGGGGAAGGCCGTCCAGACCTCTCAGACTACTAGATCATTGAGCTGTCCTTACACTATCAACAGTCAGAGCTGGACAATAGCAACAGTGCAGTGCACATCCTCGGCAGCCCTTAGGAAAGACAACATTTTTGAATAAATTGAGGCTTGTGATTGGAAAGCCTGGAGGACTTTTATTTTAATTCAAGTATGGGAGAGGTTGCATCTACCATGGAACTCAGTAAGTTGAAGCAATTTAACAGTTTATTTGTGTGACCATTGACATGCGTAGACAGTATAGTGTAGGCTACCTTTGAATTACAATTCTATTAAATAACAGTCAATTAATGAATGGATATTTGTATTACGACCATGTTAATTTTGGGGGCGAAATTGAAAATTGCAATATTATTGTGAAAGCAGTGCTCTTATGTACAGTAGATAGTATGTAGTGACCACTGACCTGTCCTTATCTCTGTTATTGAGAGGCCCACAGTAGAGGGAAGTTGACTGGTCTGTCAGCCGTTGTTAATACGGACAGCGTCGCCAAGGAAAGTGTCACACACAGTGGGCCTTCCTGACCATTCTTTACTGGTCATGTATTTTCACAGCGACATCCCCTATATGTCCCCAGTGTCAACAGAGTGCACTGGCATGTTATGTATGTAATTGTAAGCCATGTCTCCACGGTGGCATAAAAACAGATCCGGGATTATAATCATGGTCATTCAATGTAAATGATACGTGTGCAGTGTAGACAGCTTGCAGTGAGCGTGGGTGGTAGGCTAGTAGTGGGTGCTGAAGTCTATAGGATACCACTATAATGTTAGGGAGTTCTATGTGATTGTATAGAAACTGCTCCGTCTTCTCATTCAAACTGCACTGAATCTGAAAGCACTCACACCCTCCGCCTTGAATGCCACTTAAGGGAAGTCACTGAGGACAACACTCTCTCTGTTCAAAACAAGACACCATATCCACCCTCCTCTCCTCACCGTCCAGCTTCTCTCTCTCTCTCTCTCTCTCTCTCTCTCTCTCTCTCTCTCTCTCTCTCTCTCTCTCTCTCTCTCTCTCTCTCTCTCTCTCTCTCTCTCTCTCTCTCTCTCTCTCTCTCCCTCTCGCTCGCTCGCTCTCTCTCTTGCTCTCTCTCTTTTTCTCTTTCTCTCGCTCTCGCTGGGGGCATACATTGTGAGTTTATCAAGCCGGGGAACCTTCAGCTTTGAATAGCATTGTCTGCAGGCTCTGGCATTCTTTAGTCAACAAAGGGAACTTCGACTGGTGTGGAGGAGAGATAGAAAACCATTTTAATGAATCAGCATTATTTTCCTGAAAGCCTAGAGTCTCTTGGGAGCCCAAAGAAGGCACATAATAAGGGTATGTCAATAAGGTGTACACACAATACAGTTCCCCACATCAAAGAGCCAGTTTATAATATAATCTCCTCCCATAGCTATTTTTATTATTTAGGAGAGGGCATACTACCCCCACTTGCCCTAGTACAGAGAGGCTAACTAACAGCAGAAGGTAGCAGTGGTGGGGAAGTGAGAGTGTAGAGGAACGGTCTCATGTACTGTTGAATAGATTCTGTTGTAGCCGCCCCCAGCCATCCCCTTACGTATTGTCACTCAGGGCTATTGGGTTACGCCATTGCACCAGCTCTCACAGAGCGCTGAAACAAACCGCTTTCTCCAACACTGAAACTCTCATTAGCTATCTTGTCTGTAGTAAGTATCTTGCTGAAGTCCTTATATATATATTTTCTGTGCTAATTACTCAATTTAAGGGCATAGTTTACTGGGAATCCAAACGGAGGCTTTCATTCTGAAGAGGGAACCACCTCTGCCTGAACTTGCACTTTCTTTGGTCACCTGTAGCTTTTCAGGAGGATATTCAGTCAGGCAGGCTGTTTCAGCTTTGAGGTATGTGTTCTCACTTTTAAAGGCACTATGGTCAATTCAGGGCGGTGGATTAATGAGGGTAAAACACCAAAAGTCCTACCAGACTACTTAGGTTTATTCTGTTGTTAAGTATACATTTGGTTACTGTCATTAATATGTAATGACATGGGTGTTGTTAGTAATGCCTTGTATGTCTCATGGACTCTAATGTACAGTACATTGAGTGTCCATGTTAAATGAATGGCCACCATGACCCTCAGTGCTTTTGAGTTGAGTTTTCACATCAGTCACATGAGTCCTAATGAGATCACTAGAGGAAGGGTGGTAGTATTTATAAAAAAGGGAAGTTCTAGGCTTAAGTTCTGATTGTCTTATTCGAGGAAGCTGTGGGAGTTATTGATGCTTGGATAGGATGAAACCTGAAAGCACAGCCTTATTTACTGCCAGACCTGTTGGTTACTATAATCTAGGACCTGATGCAAGTGGTACCAGTTTGAATATAGTTCTCTAAATGGACAACTTTATGTCTCATTTCACTCAATGTTTTACTTTGTTGAAACCCCCAGTTCGTTGCAGACATGGGGAGCTTATCTGTTTTCAAATAGAGACAAAAAGTACTTTCAAAGATGTGGCTTTATAGTGGGTGGTAAATCCCTGTAGGTATTATATCTTCAATATTTTAATTTGATATAGGTATCTTACTCCGTTAGGGAGGAAATGTACAAAGTGAACTTTTTTGTATATTACATGAACAACTCACCTGCTCACTTTGTCAAATGTATAAACCAGATGGTCTCGCCACTGTCCAATCAGATCATCCATCATCTCCACATCCCATAATGCCTTTCCACTTAATATAATCAAATGAAGTTACACAATCATTATTAAGTAAGTAGCCTAAAGGGGTTTTGATTGGCTTCCTCATCAGTTATTGTCAAAATGGACACTACATAGCTTTGTTCCTGTCTGCCTGGGCCCCAGCTCAGCCTGACCTGTTTTGTTTAGAGGGCTGTGTTCTGCCAGGGCCTCAGACACTGATTCAGACTAATGGTGAGACTCAGAACAGACACAGCTGAATGGTCCATGTTGGGCCCATGACCTCTGACCTCTAGATACTGATCCACAGTGTTCTCCTCTCTGTGAACCTACAGACGGCAGAGAGCCTAAGAGGAGTGAGAGGCCTAGGGAGGACGGCCTGGGCCCCGAGCCCAGCTACTTTGAGATCCCCACCAAGGAGCCTCAGATGGACAGCATTCATGAGATCCCCACCAAAGACACTGAGGGGGCTGTTGCTGCCGCTACCACCTCCGCCAGCGCCAGCGCTCAGGGCCATGCCTCACCTCACGCCTTCACAATCGAGTTTGACGACACCTCCCCTGGCAAGGTCACGATCAAGGACCATGTGTCCAAGCTGACTCCGGACCACCGGCCCCGGCCTAAGAAGGCCCCCCAGTCGGGCAGCAAGGACCTCAGCACCCTGCAGGCCGCCATGATGGTCTCTGAGAGCAAGGTGGCTGATTGGCTGGCCCAGAATGACCCCCCCACGGTGCGCAGTGAGTCCACGGAGGAGGACAGCAAGAGCATCAAGAGTGATGTCCCCGTCCACTTCAAGAGGCTCAAAGGTGAGGGCCATAGCCTGCCTGCTCTCCTCCCTATATCCCTGCCTGTCTTTCTCTCTGTCTCTCAGTTTCTGTTGTCAGATCAGCAAATGCACTTATTCCTCCTCATAGCCACACTACAGTATCCTCTACTAACTGTTCTACAGCTGGCCTTGCTAACCTCACAATTAAGCTGATCAACGTGTTTTACTGCTAAAAACCATGAGTGTTTTAGTTATTTTGGGGAGATCCTGTGAAATGCATCCTCTTAACAAAGCTTATCCCTTACTCGCTACAAACAGAGCCTCAAATGTTGGTCAATCTGATCCTCTAAAATAAGACTTGTGTTTGACCCAGAAACTCATAGGGCGCTATTCAATCTGTATCGCTGAAGCGTTAGAGATTGCCCGCTAGAAATGTAAAGGTAATTTCCGTTTGAGCCGACATATGCAGTGTTTACCGTGAATGCAGTCTCCGCTAATGCGGGAACATTGCCTTTAAATTTCAAACACGCTGTAACGCAGAATGTCCGCGATACGGATGAACAGCAACCTCCCCCTTGGGAGAGGGGTAGAATGTCCCAGAGGGAATGTCAATAAGGGGAGCGGCAGGGATGTGAATGAAACAATAATAAAATAATAATATATACATATTTACAACTGTAACAATGATACATCAGGGGGAGCAGATAGCTGCCTAGTGGTGGCTAGTAGTTCTGTAATTCCATGGTGCCCTAGTAGCAGCCTAAGCAGAGAGCTCCTGTAAATATGTGCATATTTACACAGTGAGGGAAAAAAGTATTTGATCCCTTGCTGATTTTGTACGTTTGCCCACTGACAAAGACATGATCAGTCTATAATTTGAATGGTAGGTTTATTTGAACTGTGAGAGACAGAATAACAACAAAAAAATACAAAAAACGCATGTCAAAAATGTTATAAATTGATTTGAATTTTAATGAGGGAAATAAGTATTTGACCCCTGTGCAAAACATGACTTAGTACTTGGTGGAAAAACCCTTGTTGGCAATCACAGAGGTCAGACGTTTCTTGTAGTTGGCCACCAGGTTTGCACACATCTCAGGAGGGATTTTGTCCCACTCCTCTTTGCAGATCTTCTCCAAGTCATTAAGGTTTTGAGGCTGACATTTGGCAACTCAAACCTTCAGCTCCCTCCACAGATTTTCTATGGGATTAAGGTCTGGAGACTGGCTAGGCCACTCCAGGACCTTAATGTGCTTTTTCATGAGCCACTCCTTTGTTACCTTGGCCGTGTGTTTTGGGTCATTGTCATGCTGGAATACCCATCCACGACCCATTTTCAATGCCCTGGCTGAGGGAAGGAGGTTCTCACCCAAGATTTGACGGTACATGGCCCAGTCCATCGTCCCTTTGATGCGGTGAAGTTGTCTTGTCCCCTTAGCAGAAAAACACCCCCAAAGCATAATGTTTCCACCTCCATGTTTGACAGTGGGGATGGTGTTCTTGGGGTCATAGGCAGCATTCCTCCTCCTCCAAACACGGCGAGTTGAGTTGATGCCAAAGAGCTCGATTTTGGTCTCATCTGACCACAACACTTTCACCCAGTTCTCCTCTGAATCATTCAAATGTTCATTGGAAAACTTCAGACGGGCCTGTATATGTGCTTTCTTGAGCAGGGGGACCTTGCGGGCACTGCAGGATTTCAGTCCTTCACGGCGTAGTGTGTTACCAATTGTTTTCTTGGTGACTATAGTCCCAGCTGCCTTGAGATCATTGACAAGATCCTCCCGTGTAGTTCTGGGCTGATTCCTCACCGTTCTCATGATCATTGCAACTCCACGAGGTGAGATCTTGCATGGAGCCCCAGGCCGAGGGAGATTGACAGATCTTTTGTGTTTCTTCCATTTGCGATTAATCGCACCAACTGTTGTCACCTTCTCACCAAGCTGCTTGGCGATGGTCTTGTAGCCCATTCCAGCCTTGTGTAGGTCTACAATCTTGTCCCTGACATCCTTGGAGAGCTCTTTGGTCTTGGCCATGGTGGAGAGTTTGGAATCTGATTGATTGATTGCTTCTGTGGACAGGTGTCTTATATACAGGTAACAAGGTGAGATTAGGAGCACTCCCTTTAAGAGTGTGCTCCTAATCTCAGCTCGTTACCTGTATAAAAGACACGTGGGAGCCAGAAATCTTTCTGATTGAGAGGGGGTCAAATACTTATTTCCCTCATTAAAATGCAAATCAATTTATAAAATTTTTGACATGCGTTTTTTTCTGGATTTTTTTGTTGTTATTCTGTCTCTCACTGTTCAAATAAACCTACCATTAAAATTATAGACTGATCATTTCTTTGTCAGTGGGCAAACGTACAAAATCAGCAGGGATCAAATACTTTTTTCCCTCACTGTACATTTTTAAGGGTTTTTAATTGTTTTTTTATCAGCTGTTTTGTTTTTGATAACATTTATTGCATATTTCTGGTGGTTTTGACCCACAGATTTGCAGATGGACTGGCAGGTCAACTCTTTTTTGGCTTGGCTAGCTAGCTGGCTAATTGTTTTTGTTCGAATGATGCATCCAGCTTTTGTGTTTCACCTGGCTGCTGGTCCCTGATGTTTTGAAAACATCAATTGAAAAGTCACCTGAAGCTTGAGAGGGATGGGAGATGCAGTAAAGGGATCCAGTGCTGAGGCAGAGGGCTCATAGTGAGGATGACTGGCTAGTACTCTGAACTGTGTGTGGTGAGTTTTCTGGCGCTCAGAGCTGCTGAGGTATCACTCAAGTGGGTGCCATACATTGTGAAGGAGGAGAAGTCCAGTAGCTACACGACTCAGGCTGGTTTCCAGAGTAACCCTCTACATGATCGTCACTAGACTCTTCATCAACCATCTCCCTGACCAACCATACTCTGATCAAGCCATGAACTGTCCCTCTCCATCTTTGGAGGATGCATGCACTCAAAGACCTGGCCTCTATTGGTTGACCTAACTATAGCTAGGCTACTCATGGTGATGCATTGCTTGTTTGTTTTTTGCTTTTGATGCGCTTTGGGATTGTTATGAAAAGCACTATAGACATTTTATAAATTATGATTATTATTAAATTCCCAATCTCTCCCTCAAACCATCATGGCCACCTAATCATCCCCAGCTTCCAATTGGCTCCTTTCCCCTCTAACTATTCCCTAGGTTGTTGCTGTAAATGAGAATCTGTTCTCAGTCAACTTACCTGGTAAAATAAAGGTTAAAAAAAAGAGTAATATATACACTACATTTATCACAAAGTTTGCTCCTTCAGTGTTTTTAGATATTTTTGTCAGATGTTACTATGGTATACTGAAGAATAATTACAAGCATTCCATACGTGTCAAAGGCTTTTATTGACAATTACATGAAGTTTATGCAAAGAGTCAATATTTGCAGTGTTGACCCTTCTTTTTCAAGACCTCTGCAATCCGCCCTGGCATGCTGTCAATTAACTTCTGGGCCACATCCTGACTGATGGCAGCCCATTCTTGCATAATCAATGCTTGGAGTTTGTCAGAATCTGTGGGTTTTTGTTTGTCCACCCGCCTCTTGAGGATCGACCACAAGTTCTCAATGGGATTAAGGTCTGGGGAGTTTCCTGGCCATGGGCCCAAAATGTCGATGTTTTGTTCCCAGAGCCACTTAGTTATCACTTTTGCCTTATGGCAAGGTGCTCCATCATGCTGGAAAAGGCATTGGTCGTCACCAAACTGTTCTTGGATGGTTGGGAGAGGTTGTTCTCGGAGGACGTGTTGGTACCATTCTTTATTCATGGCTGTGTTCTTAGGCAAAATTGTGAGTGAGCCCACTCCCTTGGCTGAGAAGCAACCCCACACATGAATGGTCTCAGGATGCTTTACTGTTGGCATGACACAGGACTGATGGTAGCGCTCACCATGTTTTCTCCAGACAAGCTTTTTTCCGGATGCCCCAAACAATCGGAAAGGTGATTCATCAGAGAAAATGACTTTACCCCAGTCCTCAGCAGTCCAATCCCTGTACCTTTTGCAGAATATCAGTCTGTCCCTGATGTTTTTCCTGGAGAGAAGTGGCTTCCTCGCTGCCCTTCTTGACACCAGGCCATCCTCCAAAAGTATTCGCCTCACTGTGCGTGTAGATGCACTCACACCTGCCTGCTGCCCTGCAAGCTCTGCACTGGTGGTGCCCCGATCCTACAGCTGAATCAACTTTAGGAGATGGTCCTGGCGCTTGCTGGACTTTCTTGGGCGCCCTGAAGCCTTCTTCACAACAATTGAACCTCTCTCCTTGAAGTTCTTGATGATCCAATAAATGGTTCATTGAGGTGCAATTTTACTAGCAGCAATATCCTTGCCTGTGAATTTCAAGCACCACCCTCCTTTTAAAGCTTCCAGTCTGTTATTCTAACTCAATCAGCATGACAGAGTGATCTCCAGCCTTGTCCTCGTCAACACTCTCACCTATGTTAACGAGAGAATCACTGACATGATGTCAGCTGGTCCTATTGTGGCAGGGCTGAAATGCAGTGGTAATGTTTTTTGGGGATTAAGTTCATTTTCATGGCAAAGAGGGACTTTGCAATTAATTGCAATTCATCTGATCACTCTTCATAACATTCTGGAGTATATGCAAATTGCCATCATAAAAACTGAGGCAGCAGACTTTGTGAAAATTAATATTTGTGTCATTCTCAAAACATTTGACCACGACTGTACATGAAATGAGTTTGAATAGGAAATATAGCAAAATGCATAGGAAATGTAGTCATTGTCAAGGTTAGAAATAATGATTTCTAATAGAAATAATAATTGTGTCTTTCAAACTTTGCTTTTGTCAAAAAATCCTCCATTTGCAGCTATTACAGCCTTGCAGACCTGTAATAGTTGTCAATTTGTTGAGGTAATCTGAAGAGATTTCACCCCATGCTTCCTGAAGCACCTCCCACAAATTGGATTGGCTTGATGGGCACTTCTTACGTACCATACGGTCAAGCTGCTCCCACAACAGCTCAATAGGGTTGAGATCCGGTGACTGTGCTGGCCATTCCATTATAGACAGAATACCAGCTGACTGCTTCCCTAAATAGTTATTGCATAGTTTGGAGCTGTGCTTTGGGTCATTGTCCTGTTGTAGGAGGAAATTGGCTCCAATCAAACGCCGTCCACAGGGTATGGCATGGCGTTGCAAAATGGAGTGATAACCTATCTTCTTCAAGATCCCTTTTACCCTGTACAAATCTCCCACTTTACCACCACCAAAGCACCCCCAGACCATCACATTGCCTTCACCATGCTTTACAGATGGTATCAAGCACTCCTCCAGCATCTTTTCATTTGGTCAGCATCTCACAAATGTTCTTCTTTGTGATCCGAACACCTCAAACTTCGATTCGTCTTTCCATAACACTTTTTTCCAATCTTCCTCTGTCCAGTGTCTGTGTTCTTTTATGATCAATTCTTCTAATGATCAATTAGCCTTTTAAAATGATAAATTTGGATTAGCAAACACAACGTGCCATCGAACACAGGACTGATGGTTGCTGATAATGGGCCACTGTACGCCTATGTAGATATTCCATAAAAAATCAGCCGTTTCCAGCTACAATAGCCATTTACAACATTAACAATGTCTACACTGTATTTCTGATCAATTTGATGTTATTTTAATGGACAAAAAAATTGCTTTTCTTTCGAAAAAAATGAAATTTCTAAGTGACCCCAAACTTTTGAACGGTAGTGTATATTTTTAAAATATTCAGCCTCCTGATGGTCTGGGGGTAGAAGCTATTGTCTGTCTGACAATTTATGCCATGATACTCCTATACTGCCCACGTCTGAGTGATGGAAGCGGGGAGAACAGGCCGTGGCTCGGGTGGCTGAGGTCCTTGATGATCTTCTTTGCCTTCCTGTGACACCTGGTGTTGCAGGTGTCCTGAAGGGCAGGGCAGTGTGCACCCAATAGTGCGTTCCTCTGAGCGTACCACCCTCTGTAGAGCCTTGCGGTCAGCGGCGGTGGCGTTGCCGTACCAGGCTGTGATGCATCCTGACAGTATGCTCTCGGTGGTGCTCCTGTAGAACACTGTGAGAGCCCTCAGGGACAGACCAAATTTCTTCAGCCTCCTGAGGTTGAAGAGTCGCTGTCGTGCCTTCTTCACCACGATGTCCGCGTGGTTTGACCATTTCAGCTCCTCGGAGATGTGTACGCCAAGGAACTTTACGTTTATTCACCGTCTCCATGGCGGCCTCGTTGATAAGGAAGGGGGCGTGCCCAGCCTGGTTCATCCTGAAGTCCACAATCAGCTCCTTTGTTTTGCTGACATTGAGGGAGAGGTTGTTTACTTGGCACCACATCGTCAGAGTGCCCACCTCCTCTCTGTAGGCCGTCTTGTCGTTGTTGGTAATCAGGCCTACTACTGTTGTGTCGTCGGCAAACTTGATGATGGAGTTGGAACTGTGTGAGGCCATGCAGTCGTGGGTATACAGGGAGTACAGGAGGGGACTGAAGACGCACACTTGTGGGGCCCCCGTGTTGAGGATCAGTGTGGAGGAGGTAATGTTACCTTCAAGTAGAAGCATGACTTCTACTTTGCTAATGCGTATAGCTGCAGTCGTACTCTAGGATTAAGTAGGCAGCCAGACAGGAGAGAAGGCAAATAAAGGCCATTGCGTGTTTACTCCCCCTGTAGTCTGATCTGACTTTCATCCTGGGAGAAGGCTTTGCTCTCTACTCATCTTAGTTGTTTATCTAGCTGTATGATTCTTCTCCTCCAGGAGACTCTGCTCAGACAAAATTCACTCTGAAGTCACACCATCTCCATGAAATGATAGGTGGCCGTCTGCGCTCTATAAAGGTCCTTTATATCAAATAGTGTCTGTTTATGTAATTCTATAAAGGTCCCCAGCCTCAAGCAAATATAAATTCAAATACCAATCCTTCTGTGTACTTTATATCACTGACAGAGACACCCACTTATGGCTTTCAGATCCTGGCCATGACCCCACACTCCGAGGGAGTCTCAGGGAGAGTTGGGAAATGCACAAAACACATTTCCAATTCACACATGCGTATAATACACACTTGTACAAATATACAGTAAATATAGGATAAATATAAGCACCCTCCCACACACTCACACTTATGGCTCTCTATGTACAACCTACCATCTGACTAGTGATTCTTCATACTTAAATCTCTCTTCCCTACATAAACCGATAGATTTGGTTTTGTTAATGGCAGTCAGAATTTTCTGCCGCATTTGCTACTTCCTCGGGATTAGTCCTCAGCACTTCTAAATCCACCAGCCGTCTCCCAGCTCTGACACCCATTGTCTGAGCTTAGCATGGATGGCACAGTAGGCTACCTGCTTGCCTGCCTCCCCCATTCTCCATTCTCCCTGCCTAAGGCACTCATTTTCTGCTGTACACCAAGGAGCCAAGCCACATCCATCCCATCTCCTTAATGATTCAGCCACATAGAGCTTTAGTTGTGCTTTTCCTTTGTTTCATATTTTAATTAGAGCCTGGACACTATGTCTGTCTACATCTTCATTACCATCTCTGGGCCTTTTGTAATGTACGTTTTGGGTATGACAACATGCATCTCTCTCTCTCTCTCTCTCTCTCTCTCTCTCTCTCTCTCTCTCTCTCTCTCTCTCTCTCTCTCTCTCTCTCTCTCTCTCTCTCTCTCTCTCTATCGCTCTCCCTCTCTCTCTCTCTCTCTCTCTCTCTTTCTCTCTCTCTCTTTACCTCTCTCTACCTCTTCTACCTGCTAACTGCTGAGTAGGGTTATTTTGCTGTGGGATGCTATTTGACAGGACTCAGGAGAGAGTGTGGGCTGGGCGCTATCTACTCTTTGGAGCTGGCTAATTAAATGTGTGCTAATTTATGGTGTGCGATAGCTGTGTCTTGGGGGTGGGGCGCAGACAGGATGGTATGAATAGAGATTTATAAAGCACATAGCACGTATGAAGGTGAAGTCCGAGGCTGAGCTACTGAGTGCTGTAGTACATACAACGTTTTGCTGCTGGACAATGCAGTCTTTCCAGTTTTAGGTGTGGCTCCTGTACTCGGATTATGGGGTTTATTCTAAAGCTGCACCTTCCAGAGGCTGTGGTGGGAGTCTAGCTGTGGGACCAAGAAGAGGGAGAAACAGGGGTCGGTGTTGAGGTTGGAGTTCTCGTGCTGCAGGCGGTCAGGACTGGGAGCTTTGTAGCTTGACGTGTGTGTAAACCATACATGTGTGTGTGAGTCGTGCTCAGTGGTGCTCAGTGCTGCCGTCAGCCCCAGGGACAGAGAGCTGTGTGTGTGCCGTCAAGCGTGAGGACAGGAAAGCGAGACGAGCCAGAGGCTGCTGTGTTAATATTCATGTTTTCAGGTGGGTCTCTGAAACAGAATGGATGGAGAGGCATCCGGTCGGTGCATGGGGTGCATGGGGACCGCCTGGAGATACTGTGTAGCTTTTTCACTGCAAAGTAAGGGTTAACTTTGTTGTTTGTGACGTAAATTAACCAACAGTTTAATAATGATGTTACGTTTTGGTGGTTTTACTCACTTACTGTAGAAGGTTAACAATAACAGTGTTTGTGTTGTGAATGTTCTTGATGGAGGTTTGACATTTTACATTTGTCTGTGTGTTAGAGGGTTAGCGCTGCTGTGATGTGTAGTAGGGTTAACTGTTGTTTTGTTCACTGTCTCTTTATGTTGTATATTACGGTTAACAACTTCATTTGATTGGATGTGCCTCTGTTCTTTGTAGAGTTAACTGTGTTGTTTGTTCTGTACTATGTAGTTGGGTTAACTGTGTTGTTTGTTCTGTACTGTGTAGTAGGGTTAACTGTGTTGTTTGTTCTGTACTGTGTAGTAGGGTTAACTGTGTTGTTTTTGCTAGAGGAGTAGGGTTAACTGTGTTGTTTTTGTGTGTGTGCTGTGTGTGATGAGGTGGAGTGGAGGAGATGCAGTCTGACTCATGTGGGGCCAGGGCCAGCCAGCTCTAGTCACTCAGAGACAGGCAGCGCTGTGAGGCTCCTAACAGTTCCTTTGTCTGGGGCTGCTGCATAAAAGGCCTCTGTCTCCAGAGTGGCCTGGTGATTTCTGCCTCTGAACCCACCACTGTCAGGTCTGATTTCATGCTATTTCCTGAGCCCCCGCTAAAGAATACCCACTTTCCCTCCTCCCCCCTTCCTTTTCCTGCTCCTTCCTCCAACCCCCTCCTCTCTCCCCCTCTGCCCACTGAGGAGGCAGGACTGGTATTACTGTGGCTGGGTGAAGTCTGGAGTGCTGCCGCATATTGGATTCCATCATAGAGGGCTATGGAGGCCTATCTGTCCTTCTCGCTTTCTCTCTCTAGGTCATGATTAGCAGTTGAAAGGTCAGAGGTTAGCTGTTTTATGTTTCCTGTATGTGCAGTAACTCAGGTCTGTGCTCTCTTCTCTTGGTCCTCCCAGGCAGCAAGCATGAGGACGGCACCCAGAGCGACTCTGAGAACGGGATTGGTCTGCGCTTCGGCAACCGGAGGCTGGCTTTGGAGGAAAGGCTGAGGGTGGCGCAGGGAGGACAGGGGGTTCAGGGGGGCCGGACCACCAGCAACAGGACGGCCTTCATGATCGAGTTCTACGATGACGACAACCCCCGCAAGCGACGCTCCTACTCCTTCTCCCAGACTGCACCGCTGCTTGGCGGCGCGGCCGGGGAGGCTCTGTGCCCCACACCCCCCTCGCACCCTAAGTCCCCCTCTACCACGACCACAGACTTCAGCAAGGCCCCGTTATCAGCGGCCCTGATAGCGGGAGCCCCCACGGCCGCCAGAGTGCTGATGAAGCAGAGGTCTGAGGACCAGAGCATAGGAAGGAGCTCGGTCAGTACAGGCCACCAGACCACTGAGCCCAGCCCCAGTGAGGAGGGTCTGAGGACCCCTCGGTCCCAGGCGGACAGGGACAGGGAGCAGGAGGACAGGGAGCAGGAGGACGACCAGAGTGATAAGGGAACCTACACCATTGAGCTGGAGAACCGCAACCCTGAGGAGGAGGAGGCCAGGCGCATGATAGACAAGGTATGGTCAGCTTTCTGAAGTATTTTCACACACCTCAAGGATTTATCGTTATGGGTTGGGTTGCTGTGAATACGATTTTTATTTTATTTTTTATATTTTCTGAATTGTATGTAGGAAAGCTGACCTGGTTTGAATGTAAGAATGGCCAAGTTCTATGTGTCTTGAATTAACTGTATTGAACGGGTCATTCAAAGGTCATGTTATTTTTCTTCCGTTTTCTAAAATGCACTAAGCATGCTGAGCTTTTGAAGCTTTTGAACCTGTAATGGTCTGTCATAATGATTTATTACATCGCTATTTTCCGAATGAAAAGCATTTTTCTATGTCCTCTGATGCTTTGTGACCCATGGGTAAAAGTAAAAGGATTTTGTAATGTATTTTATTTCCAACTGAATGTGGTCATTGCGAGACTAATTGAAAATATTTCCATTGTACAATATGTAGTCTAAAACTTTTATACACTGAAGGTCTTGGTCAGGCACTTTCACTAATATACACATTTTCAATGGTATATTAACAAAGAAATGTTACTGTCAGGAAATGGTATACCCAGCAGCATAGGTCTTCGCCCTGATATGGAGATCAATTTCCCTCAAGTCTCTCTGTTCTAATTAGGGTTAGCTCATATAAACAGCCATACACAACGAGAGAGTGGGCTATCACTATTCAACTCCTGAGTGGCGCAGTGGTCTAAGGCACTGCATTGCAGTGCTAACTGTGCCACTAGAGATTCTGGTTTGAATCCAGGCTCTGTCGCAGCCGGCCGCGACCGGGAGACTCATGGGCGGCGCACAATTGGCCCAGCGTCGTTCAGGGTAGGGGAGGGAATGGCCGGCAGGGATGTAGCTCAGTTGATAGAGCATGGCGTTTGCAACGCCAGGGTTGTGGGTTCGATTCCCACAGGGGGCCAGTATAAACAAATATGTATTCACTAACTGTAAGTCGCTCTGGATAAGAGTGTCTGCTAAATGACTAAAATGTAAATGTAATAGTGTGTATAACCTGGCTGTCACAATCCAGTGTAACAGCTGCCATAATAAATACCACAGTTAACACCACATAAGACTCATGAGTAACTCCCTTAAGGATACACAATTTAGATAAAAATTGAGCAGAAATGTCATCATCCATCCTTGCTTTCTTCCAAATTAACCATTCTATTGACACCTAGGGACTAGTTTATGATTATAATACCTTGCTGCAAAACAAGGTTAGCCTTTAGCTAATCCTCACTCTGACCACAGCATTCCACATGTTACATACCGCTGTAGAGCAAATCTAATGGGGCTCACCATCGAGCTCTCTCCATTATTCCATAGTGCTCCAGGGAGTTTAGAAAACCACCATGGTTTGCTAATGTAACAGCTGCCTGCGTGCTTTCTCATGCTAAATGAAAATATTTCTAAAAGGGCGAGTCTCGGAAGTAGAGAAGTAAGGGTTTACTGCTGGCTTAAGATTCCCCCAAATAAGCTCAGTTTAAACTCTTAAACGTGTAGCCCTGAGATGTAATTTTTTACTCATTAAACATTTATATGTGACTTAAAAGATTATATTTGGGGCACGGAGTAATTGGAGAGTGGGTGGGGCATTGGTTGTCAGATTTATTTAGAGCATAGACTGGGTAGCCTTCTCTAAACTAGAAGTGTGATGATGGTAATTCCTCTAATTAGCTGACACACTAATTGGCACACTGCTCCCTGTCTTTTTACATGGCCGTTATGGATGTTTGAAGTGTGTGGGGCAGCGCTTTGATCCAACTGGCCCTCATGTTGGTCCAATATCAGCCACCTTTGTCTACGGAGTAGACTACCGTGAGTGGCAGTGATGAGTCATGAAGCTCTTTATTGCCTTGATACTCAGGTGTTTGGGGTGGAGCAGAACCAGGATCTGTCTGTCTCAGGACCAGTAGAACACCAACAGGGAGGAGCAGGGAAGGAGAAGAAGGAGAGGAAGAAGACCACAGAGACGGGAGAAGCTGTGAAACCAAGCTGCCTTCCATCTGAGGTAAAACACCCCTTCCATGGAGACAGAAATGATTACACCCAATCTCTCACGGCTTTTAGTCATCATAGTCACCAGGCTACCAACACCTGATAGCATCTATCTCATTCAGTGATGTAATGCTTGAGAAATGTAACAGTCACTGAGATTCATTATTATGCCCCTGACGTATTAGGGTGGAGTCGCTCGTTGTCTTTTTCTATGACCCTCAGATTCCTTCTTAGGGACGGGACAGCCTCTGAAGACTGTTAAGTGTTAATATGCTAAAATAACATTTATTTTCCAGTGGAACTCCCATTGTTTTAGTTTTCTGAGGGGAATGATGCACAAACCAGAAATGAGCGACAGAGGCCTGTCTAAAGTGGCCTATCTATTTTTACTATAAAAGGAGGAAAGCAAGAGCTCCAGATGACTCTGTTGGAAGGGGAGTAGTGGAGTGTCAGCCAGGCACTCCCTGACTTGACCGCTTCCTTGTTATTCACAGAGTAGGCCACTCAGTGCCTGACCTAGTTCATAGAGAGATGAGAAATTACAATTTTTCCCCTCCAGGCAAATTCCATACAAGCACGAGGGGAGGAATGAGACTGTATATAGGCTACAATAGTCTATCTGATGTATATGGGGATCTCTGTTGTATATTCTGTTCAGTACTATTTCTGCTATTCTGTTCAGTTACTATTTCAGCTTTAGCTTGTGACTTTCTGATAGGACTCCATGCAAGGGAATACACTTTGGCTCTGTGAAAACAATATATTCAGATAGATCATTTCACATTCCCATGCTTGGTTTAAAATATTAATCAGCTGATACATAATGAATATGATATAACGAATGGCAGCAGAGTTGTGTTCTGTGTCCTCCCTGCTATATGTGGATACTCCCTCCAGCTCTAGGTGGCCAGTAGCAGGGATTGCTAGGTTAACTGTCTCTTCCGACAGCCGCTGTATCTCTGAATGGGGTGCCATGAGTCTGTCAAGAGAGACTAGGCTAACTGTATCTGTGCTCACTCTCTCTCTCTCTCTCTCTCTCTCTCTCTCTCTCTCTCTCTCTCTCTCTCTCTCTCTCTCCAGAGTGTGTCTGAAAACCCGGTGGCAGTGGGCAGTAGTCGCTGGGTGTCTCAGTGGGCCAGTCTATCTGCTAACCACACCAGGACCGACCCAGAGGGGTCTGGGGCTGAGTCACCTGCCTTTGTCCATCAGCAGAGAGGTACAGTAGGGATCCTATATTTACCAAAATCAGGAGAATGTGGATCTGCATCTGTCTTAGCATAGGTGTATTTTCTTCACATAATAGCACAAAATTACTATGGTTGAGTTGGAATATTTATTTATTTAACTAGAAATGTAGCTTTACTATTTTTGTTTATTTCTTCCAGAAGTGGATGCCTTTGAGTCGGGCGTGTCCATCCGAAGCGCCAGCTCTGCCACCTCCAGTCTCACCGAGCGTAAACGCAGGACCCTCCCCCAGCTCCCCATCGACGACCCCCGGGCCAAGCCAGGGAAGAGCTTGTCCGGCCTAGGCCTGCATCGCTCAGAGATCGGGGAGAAACAGGACACGGAGCCCCAGGAGAAGAGCCAAGTGGAGCATAAAGGAGACGGGGCGTGCTTTACCTCCATAGAGGAGGGGGATATGATGAAGGGCAAACAGAACCAGACCAAGGCCCCGCTACAGGCCTCCTCCAAGCCCCCTCTCCGACCTATGAGCAGCAGTGAGAAGAGGTCCGAGGAGAGGAGGAGGCGGGCGGAGGACAGGATTCAGCACCACAGCAAAGGAGGAGAGGACTTTGGGGAGAAGTCAGGGGGCAAGCCCCTGGTCCGCCAGGGCAGTTTCACCATCGAGAAGCCCAGTGGTGTGGTGCCCATTGAGCTGATCCCTCGGATCAAAGGTGGTGCCAGTGTCCTGGGCCGCGAACGCAGTGACTCTGTGGGCAGCATGGACACAGCCACCCTGCTGAAGGACACAGAGGCTGTCATGGCCTTCCTGGAGGCCAAGCTGAGGGACGAGAACAAGCTGGACAGAGCCAACCGGGCAGGTTCTATCTCCCCTGAGTCAGACGTGGACACGGCCAGCACCTACAGCCAGGCAGCAGGGGAGGGAGAGAAGAAAGCAGCCCACCAGAAACGCCGCTCCCTCAGCAGCCTGCACAAGGAGAAGAGCAACCTGAGCTCAACCTCCAAAACCGCTGCCAGCACCACCGCCCGCGAGCGCCTGGAGAGGAAGACCAAAACCAGAACCGATCCCAGCCGGCCAGATGCCCGCCGCTCCGTCCAGCCTGCCTCCTCGCGGGCACGCCAACCATCCCAAGATCTCACGGATGATGATCAGACCTCGTCTTTCCCCATCTCCGACATCCTCTCCTCTGACCAGGAGAGTTTGTATAGTCGCTCGTACGGCCGCAGCCACTTCACCTCTACGGATGACCTGCTACATTCCAAACTGGAGGCCAAATCCGGCAGCAAGACCAGCTCCAGTAAGTCCAGTAAGACCCTCCAGGCCGCCACAGCTTCCTCCCTGGGGAAACAGGCCTCTCTTCCCCAGCCACGGCCTACCAGAACCTCCCTGCTCCGCCGGGCCCGGCTGGGGGACACGTCCGACACGGACCTGCCCGATGCAGACAGGATGTCTGTGGCCTCCGAGGTGTCCACCACCAGTTCCACGTCCAAGCCTCCGTCTGGTCGTAAAGGCCCCTCGCGGCTGGACATGCTGGCCCAGCCCAGGAGGACGCGGCTGGGCTCCATCTCGGCCCGTAGTGACTCAGAGTGTAATGTGGGCCGGAGCAGCACCTCCTCCCCTCGCCTGTCTGCAGAGACCGCCCTGCGTCTGGGACTCCGCTCCTCCACCCCCACCGACAACAAAATGGCTCCTCGCATGAGGGCCAACAGTGTGTCCAAGCTGACTGAGGCCAAGTCCAGAATCAGCCCCTCCATCCACAGCACTCCCTCAGGTGAGATCCTGCTTTCATCTCCGATACATTCACTCTGATATAAGGTACAGATTGAAACACTCAGTCTTCTATTATTGAATGTAAAAAACAGTTAAGGGGTAAAGGAGCAAGTCAAATGCTATCTTCTGTGTAAAGGAATGTTTAGGATTTTTCCTCTATTACATCATTGCAGTCTTGGTCAGTGTTTGTCCTTGTCCATGTGTGTGTTGTGATCAGTGTAAATCACTCTCATTGTCTGACTGTCTGTCCTGTTCAGAGAGCCCTCAGCCTGAGCCTGACCCTTCAGAGGAGGTGCTCATGGGTACTGTACCGGAGAGAGCTCTGTGTGTGTGTGGGGGGGAGGGGGGAGGGGTTAGTGTGTGTGTGGTGTAATGGTTTTTAGTGTTTTTAGTGTGTGTGTGGTGTGTTTAGTGTGGTGTGTTAAGTGTTTGTGTGGTGTGTCCTAATGCTCTACTCCAACCTTATATCTTATTGGACGATATAGAGGTATTACTATGGACACAAGTTTCAAATTGGATAGAAGTGAATTGTTATTTGCCCAAACCCTTTATCGGCCAAAAGCTGACCAATCTTTTATTCAATCTTAATTGCCAATAAGCTAAGGGTTACAGAGCCAAAAGGATTACGTCAAGTGTTACTGAGCCAACCTAACCTCATTGCTGATGCAAGACATGAGCAATGTTGTGGGCAGCGCTGGATTGTGTTGTTTAGTGGCTGTACACCGCCTAGTGGAAATATTGATTTAAGACATTGTCATAGCATATTAGAACTTGTCATGTAGTTAAGTAAAATGTTATTACAGTGAATCCAATTGACATATTTGAAATCTAGAGAGAGCATTTGGTCGTCCATGTACAGGCTACAGGCTATTAGGTGCAGATGTGACATTGTGAGAAACCATCCCACTGGGTACAGACGTCAGTTCAACGTCTATTATTAATTTAATCTTTGGTTGAGTTGTCAACTAACGTGAATTCAATGTGAAATCAACAAACAAAAAAATCTTTGTGTCATTGGATTTAGGTAAAAAGTTTGGGGAATAAAATATGAAATTCCCTTACGTTGATGACTTTTTACAAATCCAATGAGTTTTCCATGTTGATTCAACGTCATCACATATCATTTTTTTGTTGGAATGACGAGGAAACAACGTTGATTCAACTAGTTTTTGCCCAGTGGAATGGCTTAACATGTCCTCCAAGGTATCCATACCTTGTTTGATGCTTGGGTGATGGGGCGTCAGCGTTGGATGCTTTTGTTGGGTGTCATGTGACAGGAATCAGTCTGCCTTTCTAACTGCTGTTTATTGTTGTTCCTAATAATTACAGAATGAGCTCCTCAAATGATAACCTTTAATTCCAGATACAGACTCGAAATTAGTTCAGTTATGTTACTTACATCCTTATGTAAATAGAACACCCTTCAACTGAAACAAGGTTTATGATATTTGCTATGTTTGTTTATCTGACAATTCTAAGAATTCTTACATTATTCATGTACTGTATCATCATCACTAGCCACAGCGCAACCTTGTGTCAGTGAAGGAGTGGGCATAGATTCTCTGCATCTTTAACACATTCCCTAAGATGAGTACATCATGTAACTAATCCACCATGAGTGTGGCAGTGACCTCACCTTCTAACAGAGCAGTACACTCTTAGAAAAAAGGATCCAAAAGGATTCTTCGGCTGTCCCCATAGGATAACCCTTTTTGGTTCCAGGTAGAACTCTTTTTGGTTCCAGGTAGAACCCTTTTGGGTTCCATGTACAGTATAACCCTCTATGGAAAAGGTTCTACATGGAACCCAAAATGGTTCTACCTGGAACCAAAAATGGCTCTTCAAAGGGTTTTCCTATGGGTACAGTTGAAGAACCCTTTTAGGTTCTGGATAGCACCTTTGTCACTGGAAACAGGAAACTGAGACAGTGAAGCATTAGATTCAGGCCTACCTAGGCAGATACATTAAAATCAATCAAATGTATTTATAAAGCCCTTTTTACATCAGCAGATTTCACAAAGTGCTTATACAGAAACCCAGCCTAAAACCCCAAACAGCAGCAATGCAGATGTAGAAGCACGTTAGCTAGGAAAAACTGCCTAGAAAGTCAGGAACCTAGGAAGAAACATAGAGAGGAACCAGGCTCTAAGGGGTGGCCAGTCCTCTTCTGGCTGTGCCAGGTGGAGATGATAAAATTACATGGCCATTAAGGCCAGATTGTTCTTCAAGATGTTCAAACGTTCATAGATTACCAGCAGGGTCAAATAATAATCACAGTGGTTGTACAGGGAGCAACAGGTCAGCACCTCAGGAGTAAATGTCAGTTGGCTTTTCATAGCCGAGCATTCAGAGGTCGAGACAGCAGGTGCGGTAGGTAGGTGTAAGGGGGGGGGAAGAGAGAGAGAGAGAGAGAGAGAGAGAGAGAGAGAGAGAGAGAGAGAGAGAGAGAGAGAGAGAGAGAGAGAGAGAGAGAGAGAGAAGCAGGTCCGGGACAAGGTAGCACTTCTGGTGAACAGGTCAGGGTTCCATAGCCGCAGGCAGAACAGTTGAAACTGGAGCAGCAGCACGACCAGGTGGACTGGGGACAGCCAGGAGTCATCAGGCCAGGTAGTCCTGAGGCATGGACCTAGGGCTCAAGGCCTCTGGGAGGGGAGGGAGAGAGAAAGAGAGAATTAGAGGAAGTATACTTAAATTCACAGAATTACAAACTGACCCTAGCCCCCCGGCACATACACTATTGCAGCATAGATGTTAATAGTGACTAGCTAGAGGGAGAGAGCAAGTGGTATACCTTCACTGATTATGTGCCACTGTTAAAACCACATACATTTCCTCGAGCCTCATATCAGGCTATCTTGCCTACAGAATATATTTTCTATGATTTGTCTAGAGATCAGAGTTACAGAAATCTGCTTGGCTTGCTTTAAGATAGAATGCTTTAGACACTGTGAGAATCCTGTGCTTTCTGAGTGAGTGAAATAACCTCAAACAAAACACAAATTATCTATTGATAACTGTATCTTTCCTCCTGACCTTAGCCTCTAACAGGTGGAGACGGCTGCCCCCAGAGTATGGATCGACCTCAGAGGAGGAGTTTGGCTCCAACAGGAACTCCCCCAAACCCGGGCGCCCCCTGCGCCCCCACTCGGTCCTGAGGGGTACCAGACTAGGGGGCTCCACCAGCAGCCTTAACTCTGGTCAGGTTGGCCCTGGAGGCATGGTCCTCAAAAACCGCATGAGAGAGCAGGAGGAGTACATCAAGGACTGGACTGCTCACAGCGAGGAGATCGCCAGGTACTCATCTACTCCGACATATGTACTCACACATGCATACACAAGACTGCATGGGTACATACACAAACACATATACACACACCTCAGATAGCGCATAACGTTCTGAGAACCATATGTTTCTTAGAGCTTGGTGAGAGCGTAGTTGTCCTATGGTTATTTTGCATAAAACCTTCCCACAACCTTCTGGGAATGGTGCAGGATACCCAGCTAGTACATAACGTTCTGAGAACCATATGTTTCTTAGGTGGGAATTTCAGTACTTCAGCATAATGTTTCCTACAGGTTTCCTTATGGTTCTATTTAAAGTAATGTTCTCAAATTGTTCTGAGAACGTTAAGAAACAACGTTCTTCTGTGGGAATTCCAGTTCTTCAGCATAATGTTTTCTGCAAGTTTCTCAGAACATAAAAAACACAAAAAAAACATTAGTAACGTTCAAAGAACGTTCTAAGAATGTTATTTAAAAATATATGCATTCCGTTCTCAGCTTCAACAAAACTTTTTATATCCTCTATCTTGTTAAGTGTGTTCAGGTAATGAGTGCTTGTTTCCTTTAAAATGGGGTCTGTTTGAATAGATTAACAGCTTTGTGTGAATTATAAAAACATGACATGTGAGCTCCATCCTGGTGGCGCAGTAGACAGTAGACTAATTCCATGGATAGGTAATAGAAGATCGTAGGTTCGAATCTCACTGACACCGGGCCACAACAAAAAATAAATATGATTGATGCCTAAGCAAATTAATTTCCATGTGTCCTATCTGTACATGGAGTTCAAAACAGTTAACCTAAGCTTGCAGCATTATTAAAAGCATTATTGAATATTAAAAGCATTAATGAAACAATGGCTGATTCCGGTAAGACAAGGGGTGGCGGTCTGTGTATATTTGTAAACAACAGCTGGTACATAAAATCTAATTCTAAGGAAGTCTTGAGGTTTTGCTCGCCTGAGGTAGAGTATATCATGATAAGCTGTAGACCACACTATTTACCAAGTGAGTTTTCATCTATATTTTTCATAGCTGTCTATTTACCACCACAAACCGATGCTGGCACTAAGTTTGCACTCAATGAGCTGTATAAGGCCATAAGTAAACAGGAAAACGCTCATCCAGAGGCAGCGCTCCTAGTGGCCGGGGACTTTAATGCAAGGAAACTTAAATCCGTTCTACCTAATTTGTACCATGTTAAATGTGCAACCAGAGGAAAAAAAACTCTAGACCACCTTTACTCCACACACAGAGACGCGTACAAAGCTCTCCCTCGCCCTCCATTTGGCAAATCTGACCATAACTCTAACCTCCTGATTCCTGCTTATAAGCAAAAACTAAAGCAGGAAGCACCGGTGACTTGGTTAATAAGGAAGTGGTCAGATGACACAGATAATAAGCTACAGGACTGTTTTGCTAGCACAGACTGGAATATGTTCCGGGATTCTTCCGATAGCATTGAGGAGTACACAACGTCAGTCACTGGCTTCATCAATAAGTGCATCGATGACGTCGTCCCCACAATGACCGTATGTACATACCCCAACCAGAAGCCATGGATTACAGGCAACATCCGCACTGAGCTAAAGGGTAGAGCTGCCGCTTTCAAGGAGCGGGACTCTAACCCGGACGTGTATAAGAAATCCGGCTATGCCCTCCGACGAACCATCAAACAGGCAAAGAGTCAATACAGGACTAAGATTGAATCGTACTACACCGGCTCTGACACTTGTTGGATGTGGCAGAGCTTGAAAACTATTACAGACTACAAAGGAAAGCACAGCTGTGAGCTGCCCAGTGACACAAGCCTACCAGACGAGCTAAATCACTTCTATGCTCGCTTCGAGGCAAGTAACACTGAAGCATGCATGAGAGCATCAGCTGTTCCGGATGACTATGTGATCACGCTCTCCGTAGCCAATGTGAGGAAGACTTTTAAGCAGGTCAACATTCACAAGGCCGCAGGGCCAGACGGATTACCAGGACGTGTACTCCGAGCATGCGCTGACCAACTGGCAAGTGTCTTCACTGACATTTTCAACATGTCCCTGACCGAGTCTGTAATACCAACATGTTTCAAGCAGACCACCGTAGTCCCTGTGCCCAAGAACACGAAGATAACCTACCTAAATGACTACCAACCCGTAGCACTCACGTCTGTAGCCATGAAGTGCTTTGAAAGGCTGGTCATGGCTCACATCAACACCATTATCCCAGAAACCCTAGACCCACTCCAATTTGCATACTGCCCCAACAGATCCACAGATAATGCAATCTCTATTGCGCTGCCCTTTCCCACCTGGACAAGAGGAACACCTACGTAAGAATGCTATTAATTGACTACAGCTCAGCGTTCAACACCATAGTGCCCTCAAAGCTCATCACTAAGCTAAGGACCCTGGGACTAAACACCTCCCTCTGCAACTGGATCCTGGACATCCTGACGGGCCGCCCTCAGGTGGTAAGGGTAGGTAACAACACATCTGCCACGCTGATCCTCAACACGGGGGCCCCTCAGGGGTGCGTGCTTAGTCCCCTCCTGTACTCCCTGTTCCATGACTGCATGGCCAGGCACAACTCCAATGTTGAACGCTGAGCTGTAGTCAATGAATAGCATTCTCATGTAGGTGTTCCTCTTGTCCAGGTGGGAAAGGGCAGTGTGGAGTGCAATAGAGATTGCATAATCTGTGGATCTGTTGGGGCGGTATGCAAATGTAGGTGGGTCTAGGGTTTCTGGGGTAATGGTGTTGATGTGAGCCATGACCAGCCTTTCAAAGCATTTCATGGCTACAGACGTGAGTGCTACGGGTCGGTAGTCATTTAGGCAGGTTATCTTAGTGTCCTTGGGCACAGGGACTATGGTGGTCTGCTTGAAACATGTTGGTATTACAGAGGGTAGTGCATACGACCCAGTACATCACTGAGGCCAAGCTTCCTGCCATCCAGGACCTCTATACCAGGCAGTGTCAGAGGAAGGCCCTAAAAATTGCCAAAGACTCCAGCCACCCTAGTCATAGACTGTTCTCTCTGCCACCGCACGGCAAGCGATACTGGAGCGCCAAATCTAGGTCCAAAAGGCTTCTTAACAGCTTCTACCCCCAAGCTATAAGACTCCTGAACAGCTAATCATGGCTACACAGACTATTTGCTTTGCCCCCCCCACCCCCACCCCCACCCCCCTCTTTTACACTGCTGCTACTCTGTTTATTATTTATGCATAGTCACTTTAACTCTACCCACATGTACATATTACCTCAATTACCTCGACTAACCGGTGCCCCCGCACATTGACTCTGTACTGGTACCCCCTGTATATAGCCTCCCTACTGTTATTTTATTTTACTGCTGCTCTTTAATTATTTTGTATTTTTTTACTCAACTTTTTGTTTTTTTCTTTAAAAACTGCATTGTTGGTTAAGGGCTTGTAAGTAAGCATTTCACTGTAAGGTCTACACCTGTTGTATTCGGCGCATGTGGCAAATCAAATTTGATTTGATTTGTTCTCAGAACGTTATTTAATTACCTTAAAAATAACCTATCATTTCCGTTCTCAGAACGTTAATAAAGCCTCCCAGGAAAACATTCAGGGAACCATAGTAAAATGTTGTCAGAACTTCCCTGCAACATAAAAATGTAAATTCCCAGAACAGGCAAAATGTTCATTTACAAAACGTTCAGTTTTACCGGTCAGGAAACCTATGGCTTCGTTCTCGGAACCAATGGGAAACCAAAAACCTACGTTCCCACAACTTTCAAGGAACCAAATGTGCTAGCTGGGACACAAACACAAGCACAAGTATCCATCTACTTTTACTCATTCATATCACAGATATTTGTATTTGAATCCACAAGGAATCTCAGTTCAGTTTATATGCCTCATGGACATGGCACAATTGGTCAATAAGATACTATCTGTAGATAGGGCAGCCCAATGAATGGCTTAGTGTTTTCTCTCTGATCAAACAACTGTCATCTTTAGTTAGTCCACTCTAACTGACTCTGTTTTGTGAAGCTGTAATAAATGGTTCCCAACTCAGCAGGGACTTTCACACAGTATGGTGGTCATGAGATAGAACCATACCATCTAAGACATAGAGCTCCTGTGTTCTCCTTCATGGGAAGGTTGGTTTATCAACAGTCACTGTCTCTCTCCTCACCCCTGCACCCTTCCTCACCCTGCATATCTTCCACTTGACCTAGTAGTCACAGGGAGACTGAACTGAGCAGACAGCAGGGAGAAAGGGACCGATTCAACCAGCCTCAGAGCAAGCACAAGGAATTTCTTAAAAAAGAAAGGACCCGCATCAGACAAGGCAATTGAAAGTAATGGAGGACAATATGTTATTGTAAGCAGCTCTTAGTATAGCATTTTTGAAGTTCAGGTTCCTTGCATAAAATGCTTGTGAAGGATATTATCATTTACAAGTTAATATTGTCAATTCACATTGAAAATGGTCTTACCTCCATCTAGTGGACAGTATTTATAATGGTTCTATGTGCTGTGCTGTGTCCGTTCATTATACATTAAACTAAGTGCTTTTTGTTGAGGCTGACATGCAGACGTTCCTCAATGTCTAATGAGTAGTCTTGGTTTATATAATTGTGAGATATCTGTTTGTGTGTACTGTTTATTGAAGTGTCACTCACCGCCCAGTTCCAGCAGCCCATCTGATGTATCATAGGTTATTTCCCTGTGTGCGTAGGATCAGTCAAGACCTGGCCAAGGACCTGGCCATCCTCGCCCGGGAGATTCACGACGTGGCCGGAGAGATCGACTCGGTCAGCTCCTCTGGCACGGCTCCCAGCACCACGGTCTCCACCGCCGCCACGACGCCCGGCTCCGCCATCGACACCCGCGAAGAGGTAGGCCGCACGCAGGAGGGCATGAAAAAGGTGCTTGACTTTTACTTTATTCTCCCCTTCCTTACTTTTCTTTCAATTAATTAATCAAATGTATTTATAAAGCCCCTTTTACATCAGCAGATGTCACAAAGTGCAATACAGAAACCCAGCCTAAAACCACAAACAGCAAGCAATGCAGATGTAGAAGCACGGTGGCTAGGAAAAACTCCCTAGAGAGGCAGAAACCTAGGAAGAAACCTAGAGAGAAACCAGGCTCTATACTACTAACGCTCAATGGCCTCTGCTTCAGCTTTGCATTGGCTTTGATCTGCTGCCCGAAGGTGTGGACTGTGAACTGGCATTGTGCTTTGAGCTTTCTTGTATCCCATTTTGAGTATACCTGCTGTATACTGATCAGAAATTACTAAAAGGTGTATTTGCATTCTCTTAACAAGCTTTCATTGACCTTTCTCTGCTAACTTCTTTAATACCTAATTCATAACTATCTAACTCATAACTATGATAATCTGGTTCATCTGTAGCATGGTCATAGCATACATACATTCATACAGAGTAGATACAGTATAAATGTTCAATTCATGGTTAACAGTTGTGTAAAACCACAGCAATCATACAGCTTCCCCATATAATTGACAATCTCTTCCTCTGCCCCTCATAGCTGGTTGACCGTGTGTTCGACGAGAGCCTCAACTTCAGGAAGATCCCTCCCATGGTGCAGAACAAGGCCCCTGAGATAAACGGACGCCCTGTGGAGCTCCGCCCCCGCGCCCCAGACAGCCTGGACTCCCACTCTGCCCTCCGCAGACGCACATGGAACAGGGATGAGGCGGTGGTGGACAGTCTGCTGCTCACATCTGTCTCTCAGCTGTCAGCCAAAATCAGACAGTCTGTTGACAAAACAGCAGGAAAAATACGGTAACAATCAAGCTCTTTATGTTGTTTGTATCTATATATCTGACATTCACAAGAGATCAAGGAGATATTAAGCAAAGCAACTTTATGATCTATGATTTTTCCAGAATATTGTTCAAAGACAAGGACAGGAATTGGGATGAGATTGAGAGCAAACTCCGATCTGAGAGCGACATACCACTTCTCAAAACCTCCAACAAGGTAAGGACGAAACAGGTTATACATTTATTTTTTCCTTATTTATTTTTATAAATAAATTGTCATAACGAAGCAACCTTCTTTTCCTCTCTCGTGTCACTGCCTTCCCCTTACCTCTCTTGGAACAGCAGATCTCCTCTATCCTCGTGGAGCTGAAGAGAGTAGAGAAGCAGCTACAAGGTAAGATAGCATGGTAGACCACCGCTAAGAAGACTCTGTGGGCAGTAGCATTGCAAATAGATTCAGACTTATAAACACATTAGTTTCACTACATGCATTCCAATTGCTTTAACATGTACTGTATAATCCCAATCAAACACAAACTCATCCATTTGAACCAATCTCCTGTATTTCTCATACAGTGATAAATGTCATGGTGGATCCTGATGGCACCCTGGATGCCCTGAGCAGCCTTGGCCTGACCAGCCCCCTTACACCCAAGCCCACTCCTGGTTCTCAGGGGCCCCAGGAGGCCCTCCCAGGCCCCGCAGCCTCAGCCAGGGGCAACACCGCCTCCTCAGCCCCCACTGAGGGGTCAGGGTCTGGGTCAACCAGAGACCTGGGAGGCCTGCAATTCAACCGCATCCATCCCAGTGGAGAAGAGAGTGCCATCACCCAGAAGTGAGGAGATTGGCACCCTCCGCGCTGCTTCATATATAGAACACCTGCCTCAAAGAACAATTTATCTTCTTTCTGAATGAAGATCCACCACCCTATAGCCTACTGTGTGTCAGGACCCCAACAGGACAGGCCTTAAGCAAGATTTCCTCCCTTCTCTTTAGACTTACAGTCATGTACGCATGACTAAGTCGCTTTGGATAAAAGTGTCTGGTAAATGTCATATTATTTATTCATGTCAATGGACGTGAACACCACCACTAAGTCAAGCAGCTCACATCAATCGATACACACAGAGGAGTAGCAGTCAGAAATGTATGTGGTCGACCTCTAGCTAGGCATATTTGCATTCTGGAGTTTGGTTACCATCCTCCTCCATGCAAACTGGCCACAGACACACCCTGTGGAAAAGACAACTTCTAGAGTGCCTCCCCACCTTTCTTCTTACCCTTCGTACTGGCACCAGCTAAACAGTGAACACTTTGTATTTGTGTCGCAACAAGTAGCATTGACATTTAGTGGCAAGATCGACTGAGTAGAGTGTTCTCTTTCGGAAAACTTGTTTGTGTCATCGAAATTAATCATACTAATTTAGTAGTAGTTGTCGATTATGAAAACAATTGCTTTCAGGAAACAAATGTTCTTCTTTTACTATAGTAATTCAAATGTAACTTACCAAAGCTAACAGTACAAGATTTTTTTTAATGTGAGCCAAGTTTCCCGAAGTGAAATAAGTGTACTGTGGAGCAAACTCAAGAAATATTACTTATTGTATTTTGAATGGCAATTTATCTGTTTTGCTGGTGATCTGTTTTCTATCTGTTTTCTGCACACATGACTAAAATACTGAATTTAAACTTTTCTGAGCAATTATGTACCCAGCGAATCAAATACATTGTTATGGTGATATGCAATTCACACGAAACCATTTTGATACTGTTTGAAACTATTTTAGACTATGTTACAGTACAATTTTAAACTATGTTACAGTACAGTACTGCTTGTATGTAGCCTAAGCCTGGTCCTTGACCTGAGTGACATATTTCATATGATTTGCATTACTTGATATGTGGTGTCTTTGCAAACTGGAAGTGGAAACGAAAATCTGAATATGACCGTATTTTTCTCAGCTTGGGCTGTTCTGAATCACCCTCATTTACTGTAATACTTCATACAGTAAAAGGCTCTTTTTCTGGAGTCCATAATAGTTTACAAGATGTACACCCTGAACGGCCTTGGTTGGAGAAAGCTGGTGGGTCTTCTTTCAAAAGGGCCTCTGTCTGTTTAGTGTTTATTTACAAGGACTTTACATAGGTTTTTGAAATTGTATCAGACAACATGACTGCAAAGAGCTTACTGTCAAAGCTTAATTCGCTGTAACCACTGTCATTACTTCATGTATGAATGATGATCATAAGTCATTTGACTTCTATAGCAAGCCTTTTACTGACATTGAATCGCTCACTCTTCTACATTTCCATAAGGGAGGATGTTTTCATGTACTCATACGGTATGTGTGTATAGACCTAGACATCCTCATTGAGTTTGCTGCTTCTCTGTAGTTCCTTTTTGGAGGGTTAGCCTGACCATTGTACAAGCCTTTCCATGTAAAGTTATGTGTTGTAGTATAAAATAATTCAAGGTAGTGCAACAGAATTTAGACACTTAAGCAATAGTGAAGTTAGGTACCAGAAGACATGCTCTCCATCTTTTCTGCTTCGTATACAGACTTTTGATGTCACTAAGTGCCCAGTTTGGTTAGTAGAATGGCATCTTTTTTTAAGAATGGATTATTTTATTTTTTTGAGTAATCATCAAGTAGTGGGCTGAAATTGTATGGTTTTGCACATCGCAGTGTGAGAAAATATGAAATGTGTCAAAGGCTCTTCAAGTGTCACCGTGAGTGGTTTTTGGATACAAAAGGACAAACCCAAAAATCTAAATTCAACAACTGATATCAGAATTAGATGCCTTGCCTCTGTGTAGCTATTCTCAGTACACTATCTTAACCATAACCTTCATGTTTGTCAGTATATTAAATAAAAAAAAGTAATGGGAAAAATTAAGTGCTCTGTACACTTTTTGGGGGGGTTGTTTTGAAAGTTTACACATTTGTTATCTTATAAGGGTTTTACTTTTATTTCATGTTTTGTATAAACCACCATTTTATTTATTTTGTTGTTAATTCAATGTATTTTATTGTTGCAATTCATGTGTTTTATGTTTTTTGTTATTTTACATGTTACTTATTTTCAATAAAATAAAAAGTCTCGATCCTTCCCTGATTGACATTTCTTTTAACTGGAGAAACAAAACAGGTTGATATTAAATTAGTTAAACTAGAACGCCATTCAAACTTTAAAACATGCAGACCGGACTTTTTCCATCTATAAATCAGTTTAAAATGTTCATAAAAGCTCCATATGCTTGAATGGGAAATATTTGGAGTCGCCACTGTTCTTGAATCGTTAAAGCTACAAACACCAAACCAACTTTGCACGTACAAACTGACTGAATTTAGATTGTCGATAATGTTTGTACTTTTTGAACTATAACCACTTTATCCCCCGGACCCAGTTTCCCTTGAATGAAAATTAAGCAGTGATTAGGACTGCCCAAGGAGACCCCAAATAACATATTTGTAAAAATAAATATAAAAAAATAAACCAACACTCCTAGCAATAGTTATGCAATGTGACCTATAAGTCACATCGGGTAGAAAACCACACAGTTTCAACAATATGCATTTTGAACATTTTGCACTAAATGTAAACATTCATTATAAAGCCTAACTAATTATTTCTGAAACCCAAGTTATAAAAGCAGCATCATATATGTTGCACAAGTTGTTTATCTTGTCAGTGTGTGATTATTTCTGCATTGCAAAAAGTTTAACATGTATTAAATACAGCCAGCCAGAGTACTCACAATAAATACTTTTGAGAAAATTGTCATAGTTCAACCAGTCTGAAAATGCATTGCATATCATGCAAACACTAGCTGCAGTATTCAAAACTATGTGTCTATTAGATATACATATTACAGTTAAGATGGCCAGTTTGCTAACTTTTTTGCACATGCAAATTGGAGCCCATAGGCAGTTAACACTCAAATATATGTTTAATAAAGAGTTCCTCAAAAAATGTTACTAAATTATGTTATTTTGTACATTTCTCCAAAATGTACGATCTTTGTCCCCATGTGCAGTTGCAAACCGTAGTCTGGCTTTTTTATGGCGGTTTTGGAGCAGTGGCTTCTTCCTTGCTGAGCGGCCTTTCAGGTTATGTCAATATAGGACTTGTTTTACTGTCGATATAGATACTTTTGTACCAGCATCTTCACAAGGTCCTTTGCTGTAGTTCTGGGATTGATTTGCACTTTTCACCCCAAAGTAGGTTCATCTCTAGGAGACAGAACGCGTCTCCTTCCTGAGTGGTATGACAGCTGCGTGGTCCCATGGTGTTTATACTTGCGTACTATTGTTTGTACAGATGAACGTGGTACCTTAAGGCTTTAGGAAATCGCTCCCAAGGATGAATCAGACTTGTGGAGGTCTACAGTTTATTTTCCTGAGGTCTTGGCTGATTTCTTTTGATTTTCCCATGATGTCAAGCAAGGAGGCACTGAGTTTGAAGGTAGGCCTTGAAATACATCCACAGGTACACCTCCAATTGACTCAAATTATGTCAATTAGCCTATCAGACGTTTCTAAAGCCATGACATATTTTTCTGGAATTTTCCAAGCTGTTTAAAGGCACAGTCAATTTAGTGTATGTAAACTTCTGACCCACTGGAATTGTGATACAGTTAATTATAAGTGAAATAATATGTAAGCAATTGTTGGAAAAATTACTTGTGTCTTGCAAAGTAGATGTCCTAACCGACTTGCCAAAACTATAGTTTGTTAACAAGGAATCTGTGGAGTGGTTGAAAAACGAGTTTTAGTGACTCCAACCTAAGTGTATGTAAACTTCCGACTTCAACTGTAAATAAAATCAAACAAAATGTAATCTGCATTAACGTTCTACTTTTTTAAGTTAATCTCAGTTCAAATAACTGTATTGTGGCCTTCCATGGCTTTCTGTTTCACTGGGGTATATAAAAAAAAAAAAAAAAAAAAAAAAGAGGTACACACATGTAAAATCCCTTTGTCATCCGTCGCCATGGGAAAAGTCAAAGCGCTCACAAACGAAATGAGACAAATGGTTGTTAACCTTCATAGACCAGACAATGGGTACAAAAATATTGCACAAAAATGAACTCCGCAGACGCACATGGAACAGGGATGAGGCGGTGGTGGACAGTCTGCTGCTCACATCTGTCTCTCAGCCAAAATCAGACAGTCTGTTGACAAAACAGCAGGAAAAAAACGATAAATCATTTACATTTTAGTCATTTAGCAGACGCTCTTAACCAGAGCGACTTACAGTTTTAGTGAGTGCATTCATTTTCATAATGGCCCCCCGTGGGAATCGAACCCACAACCCTGGCGTTGCAAACGCCATGCTCTACCAACTGAGCTACAGGGGACTACATTTGTGAAATAGCATTTACTCACCTTTTATTTAGTTAATTATCGTTTACCCACTTATTATTGCGTTCACAGCATTGATCAACGCTGGAAACGCTAATCAAGCTCTTTGTTGTTTATATCTATATATCTGACATTCACAAATTTCAAGGAGCTATTAAGCAAATCAACTTCATGATCTATGACTTTTCCAGAATATTGTTCAAAATTGAAATATACCACTTACCACTATTAGGGCAACAATTAAGAAGTTTAAAACCACTGAAACAGTGGTCAATTTGCCTGGTATTGGACGCAAGTGTCACAGTGCGTAGTTAAGGGACCGTAAACGGAGCGCTCGTGGAGTGACATCCTTTATATTTAAACTTGTCACACTATAAGTATTCAAAATAAACAAGGCGAGAAAAGCACCAAGTGACTTTCGTGCTGTGAACACAATTGCAGACAGGCACGAACAATGATCCACACACAGGTGG